AGCTAACCAATCACATTGTCTCAGCGTTCAATTACAATTAGCCCAGAATTTGGCTCATGCTATTAAAAACTATCTCTAGCAAACCAACATGAGTAACAAAAAACCCCCCCAAAAAAACCCAACTTGATAATATATTTATTATATTATATAAATCAATAAAGGAAACACTTGAAATGCTTAGCGTTTGTTTCAGAAGAGATTTATGTAAACAAAGGCACTTCTTTCTCTCGTCCCTCACATTTCAAAGCTATAATATCACAGCAGTTTAATCACGTTATTGCAATGCAGGAATAATGCCAACATGGGGATCTCAGATAAGTTGGGCAGTTTAATACTGGAGTCTGTGGAAACTGCCTCACTCTATAGGGCCTCCAGTGGATGCTAGAGGACTGCAGTTTCTGGGACTTGCTTAGCCGTAACTGATTCTAATTGGAATAAAGCATTTTAAAAGTATGCTCTTTGATTGAAAAGAAACAAAGAGAAACAAACATGTTGAGTGCTGTTTTTAAGATAAAAACACTCTTCCAGTTTAACCTCTGTGCTGCACAGCTGGACTCATGCTGTCAGTTTTACCTCCATACTCCTGCGTTTGGCTTTAAAAACAGATAAATTAAAAAAAAGACGAGCTGTTTCAGAGGAATCACAAACAAAAACTCCACAGGTGTATCCTCACACCTCTTGGGAGACTCATTGTTTGCTGCAGTAACTCAACGCTGCATCGGCTCCCAGTGGACCCAGTGAAACCAACAACGCCGGCTTTGTTGTCGGCCTCCGTTATCTCTCCCCGCCTGTCTTTTGTTCGTCACTCTCGTTCTCTCTAAGGATGTCTTTAGTGATAAGCTGCTGTTGTTTGTTGAGCTCAAACTCTGATGGCTTGACTGAACTCGATCATTCATCAGAGAAAGTGAGTGAGCAGCTCGACATAAATGAGTGAAAAAACTGGTACAAATAATTTAATCCTTAAAAAGATTTGTTCTGCTCATTTTCAGCTCCATGTTTTTATTCGTAGACTCCATCAGAGGAGCTTTGGATGATTCACAGTTCAAAATAATCCCCATCTGTCCTGTGCTGAATGATATGAAGCTTATCAACAATAGCTTACCAGAGTCAATAAGGAAGCACTTAATATTCCACTTTAATGTCCCATATGGAACAAATCAGACATTTGATTCCCTTTAACTCAGTTCATATAGTCCAGGGTGTACCCTGCTTTTCAGACCCTGAGATGGATAGCTAGATTAGAAGATGGTTGATGGATGGTTGATTTATTTCAGATTTTTAACCTTTTCTTTTTTCATTTTCAATATGAGTTTGTAGTGTGGTAGTAAAAATACGTTTTAAAAAACGATAAGATTTGTGAGAGTTTTTTCATTTTAATAATAAAAAAGAAGTTATTTCTTTGAACTGATGGATGAATTTAAAATGTACATCAGGACTTTTAACATGTAAAGGAGTGTTTTACATTCCTGAGGTGGAGGTGTGGACCCGAGGCTGGCCCTTCGACCCTTTGACCTCTGCCCTGAGAAATCATTCAGACTTTTAAGGAGCCATCCTTCAGACTGCCTTAAGCTTCCTCGCTGCACAGGACACCTGAGTAGGAGGTGAAAGCACTGATTAGGCAACCGCTCTGTCTTTGAATGACGTGTTAGGCTCATCTACGCCCCCTACTGGATTTCTGAACTACTGCAAAACCAACGAAACTTTAAAGTCACCAGAAATGAACACCATCAACTAGCAGGCTGTTTAGTACTCTGAGGAACACCGAAGCTGTTCCGGTGGTTTGTCGTGTGTCTGCACTTTATTGACGCTTTCCGTGGGGTTTTCCTTTAATTTGTCAGCTGTCTACAGCTGCTGCAACAGCATCCCAGAATGTCAGAAACAAGAAAACAGAAAAATGCGAAGTGCGGTTTTAGTGGATAGTTACACAAACACAAAATTAATATTATCAGCTTCATATAAAAGAGCACACACAAACCGGAACGACTTTAAACAAAACACACTAGTGTTCAAAATGCCATAGGCTAAATCAAAACAAAACGCTCCTCGGTTCATCTCTGTTAAACACAAACCACATCACACAAAAATACATTTTCATCTTTCCAGGCTCAAATTTGAGAGATGAAGACTTATTTCTGTGCGCAAATGAATAAACACGGGCGGCTGGAGCTTTAAATATTTCATCCCGCGTGTTTAAACTTACCCAGAAGACGAAGTTGAAGATGAAGAGCGCGTACTTTACGCACAGCTCCCAGCTAGTTAGAGCCGTCATCCCTGCGGAGTGTTCAGCCGTGTTTGGACTAATTCAGTCTTGAAATTATCTCCTATTTCTCGCTCAGTGATGTTCGTGGTTCCTGCTGTCGACCTGTCGCCGTTTGCTCGGCTCTGCTCAGACAGCCTCCGATCAGATCAGCTGCTGCTGGGAGGAAACAGACCATCGACTGCTCGACACCCACAGAGAGAGAGAGAGAGAGAGATCTCTGTACGTCTTTGTCTTTTGTTTGGACTTTTGTTCATCACAGGACCGAACATCAAACTTCTGAATAAAACAATTCTCCAGATTTATTAAAAACGAAACCACAAGTCTAACAAAAATCCCGTTTCCGTCAAATCTACAGAGAACAGCCTCAGAAACTGAAATACCACAGTCAGAAATAAACACTGTGCTCTCTCATATTTATTAAAATCAAAATCAGAATCAGAGTTCAAACATTCAAATGTTTGACTGTAAGCCGTGTGAGTCTGTTTACACTTGCCTTTCGAAAAGCTACTCTGGGGTGTCTGTTAATGCTGCAACTGTAAAAATTTACATTTCTGAGCAATTTGGGCAATTTACTGGAGATCTGCAAACATCTAGAGAATACAGATGCAGATGAAACTTTGATCTGCAGCCGGAGTAAGGAGCAGGTGGAGGAGAACCTGGAGAAGTGGAAGGATGCTCTGCAGAGAAGAGGAATGAAAGTCACCATCCAAAGCAACAGAGTGCACAAGAAGAAGAGATTGCTGGCAGGGTGGAGGTGCTAACTAGTAGTTATTAATTAAACCTTAACCCTCTGCTGTGATGTTGGTTTGGAGGCCAAGCTGAACATGTTCAGATATTCACTGGAAGCAAGTGGAGGACAGGGGGACAGCTTGGAGTCAGAGAGCCTGAGATGGTTTGCACATATGCAGACGAGGGAGAGAAGACATACTGGAGGAAGGATGATGAAGATAGAACTGCCGGGCAGAAGAAGGATGCTGGGATAGGAGGAGATGGAGGCAGATCATCCGCTGTAACAACGCCAGAAGAAGAAGAAGACTGGAAGTAGTTTGAACGCGAGTGCAAATAACTAAATTGAACACATCAAGTACAAGTATCAGGATTACTGTAAGGTGACAGTAATTTGAATGTTGTGTATTAAGCAAGACTGAATTTAAATGACAAACACAAACTCATGAAACTCCAGCATCTCCTTTTGATTCAGTAAAAAGACTAGATGTTACAATCCTTGATACTTTCAAAATGCCACAAAGGTCATAACCAACCAAATCCAGTGTGTGTGTGTGTTTGTCATGAGGCTATATTCTCCCTCTGTCTGCTGGCAAAGTGTTTACTTCTTCTTCTGCAGAACAAAGACGGTAGTGTGCGCGGTCAGCCCACCGCTGCTCTTTGCAGCTGCACACAGACACAGTGATGGTGAGGAAGATGGTGCTGATGGTGATAAAGGAGTACAGTACTGATCGGCTCACAAGGACCAGTAAACTAAAACTGCAAGCAGTGACAGCTGTAACCCAACAAGAGAAAGGGCATAATTTTTATGATTTAGTCTTTATAAACATTCACTTTTTTGTGGTGTTTTGGAGTCTATTCAGAGTTGAGGATGCTGAAAACACAAAATTTAGAATTTTTTAAAGACAGAATCAAACAGCAGATTAAGATGAATTTGAATCTTTACCAAACCTCTTTGAGTGAAAAAGATTGACTCTGAAACAACACTGCAAGAACAACAACCTTCATGCTGTGTGTGTGTGTGTGTGTGTGTGTGTGTGTGTGTGTGTGTGTGTGTGTGTGTGTGTGTGTGTGTGTGTGTGTGTGTGTGTGTGTGGTCCTCCGTTAACATTTTCATCCCGTTACAAAACTTCCCTTCAAACCGCCTTTGCGCTTGAAACGGTCATCCCGAGGAAGATGAGGAGGACAAGGAGGATGAAGGAGACAATGCCACATTTTCAGCATTTTTCATGCTTCACACAGACGCAATCTGTCAGCAGCAGCACAGAGATTTATTCTTCACTGAACCGTGTTAGAGAGACAGGAAGAAACTGTGATAATCTGCAGTCTGCCGTCTCTTAGTGGTAAGAGTCAGAAAGTGCAACAACATCGAAATTAAAAGAAAAAATATTTTATTATCATTCAAAAGGTTTAACGCAGACTGTATGTTTTTATAATGCTATTAAATTACAACAATCTAATTTATAGGCTAATATCCATCACAAGAAATTCATAAAACTGCAACCTGTAATCTATTTTAAGCAAATAAAATATGAGAAATTAACAAATATTCCCCCAAAATATTATGAATAAACAGAATCATTTAATTAATAACTAATGTTAAATATAAAATGAGGTTTAATTCCATATCAAACCATTATTTGTATAAAACATGTAAAAAGAGGTACAGTGAGCAGGTTCGAGCCCCAGTAAGTTTCCATCCCTTCACTGGGAGCGACACGCTTCGTGTGCATCATTATTTATTCACTCAGACGGCTCAGTAAAACATATATATATAAAACATATATAACATATATAAAACATATATATATATATATATATATATATATATATATATATATATATATATATATACTTATTTATTTAATCATGACATATATTATTTAAGTACAGTAATTACTACATAATTATTGCGTTTGGCCAATCAGCAATGTTCCGCTCCTCTTCGCTGACCAATCAGAGAGCAGACGCACTGACGGCTCGAGTCATTGGCGCTTTACCTACAGCTCACTGTCCAGAACCGGGACAGAACCAGCGGCGTGTGTTCATCTTAACTCGACTTTTCAAACGTACCGGATGGAGCTGGACCTGTGAGCACCTGCCTCGCGACAAAGCGGCGGTTGAGATCTCAGAGGCGTTACCGGCGGCTCCACGGAGCGGTCCCGTCATGGCCCACAGCGGCTCCGGGTCGCTGCTGTGCCGGCGGAACGCGCGGCTGGACTCGTTCCTGCAGCGGAAGCTGGAGCGGAGGGTGTACGAACGGATCCGGGCTTACGAGCCGTGCGTGGTGCTGTCCGAGTCCATCAACAAGGTGTACATGCACGTGGTGCTCAGCGACGAGTGCGTGTACCTCACCGAGTACTCGCCACGCACTCTCACGGCAGCCGTTAGCTTCAGGCGCGTGCGTTACATCGAGCTGGTGAGTTTGAACAGAAAAAGTGATTTAAAAAAGTATTTATTTTTGTTTCTACTGCATTAATCCCGCCCTAATTAACCGACACAAAATCCAAAAGCTGATTTTATTAAACGAAAAAACAAACAAAAAATCTGAACATGACCTGTTATAACCTGATTTTAATAAAGTAAGATACGATATTTTGAAAAAAAATTAGTATTTTGCCGATAGATATTTGTTATTATTGGAGAAAATAAGTGTAAATACTGTGAAGACCTAAGACGTCGGGTTTTTTCAATAAATGATAAAAAAAATATATGTATTTTTAATATTGATATAAAATCAACAGAAAAACCTTCTACCATATTTATTGGATTTTCTATTAAATTGGCGTTTAAGGTAAGTTATTTTTAAGGTAAATAAAAGTAAACTTTTAAAAGAAACAGTACAGAGTTAAAGCACTCATTTCCAGTATTTTTATCTTAAATGATGACGTGACTGTTTTAATGTCTGTCATGGATATTGTGGTGCAGACCAAATATTTATCAATGAATCGAGAAAATAGGCATACTGTGAAGTGTTCATGTCTCGTTTGTTCAGTAAAGGCTCGAAAACTTTAATAGTTAAATCCTAACATTGCATTTGGAAGCTGTGTTGTAATGAGTCTACAGGATGTGTTCAGAAGGGATTTGTGTCAAAACTGCAACGTGTATCACATCAGGTGAAAGAGGACAAGACAAGGCCTACATTTTGAAGTGGCTGTAGAAGAAAATATCTGTATTTCTTTTACAAATATTCACCAGATCTCCAATGGTTGATTCTGCTCATCCAAGTGATTTCTTCAGTCGACTGAAGAAGTCACTTGGATGAGTGACGAAATGTTTCTCCCACTGAAAACGCTACATCCAGATGAACAGAATCAACCTTTGGAGATTAATTTACCTGGATGATTGAGAATGCATCAAGACGAAATAATCTCCAGACTGACATCACAGAGTGGATGTTGAGTCAAGGAAAATCTCAGTTATCTTTGAAACCTAAACTGTGAACAAACCAGAGAAGACAGCAAAACAAAGCCCAAAGGGTTGTGACCTGTTTGCACTTTGGTTGATATTCCTGCAGTGAAGTTCGGCTGAGAGCTAGGGCTGAAGAAGCATCACACACATTTAAATGGCTCTGGCCTTTCGTCTAGCTTTTTTCTGACCAGAGCCGTAAAGATGAGAATTTACAGTCAGACTTTAAATCTAAACTTGATATTGACGTTTAAGTCTTCACGCTTAGGTTTAAAACCAAGCTCCAGATTTTTAAAGAACATTTAGAGATAAATATGGATGAAGTTTGCAGTTTATAATTAGGACCCCATAGATTTCTATTATTTTTGACTTGTGACATCTTTAAAGCTGAACCCAATGAGGTAATTAGTGGATCTTTAGAGCTAGTTCTATTAGCAGAATATGTTAAAGCTCAATTTTTTCTGTCTAATTTGACAGTAAACTGAATAAGTTTAGGTTTTTGGAGACTTAACTGACATAACCTTGAGTGACAGCCAAACCACGACTAAAGTACGTTAGATTACATGCATGTCACATGATGCGTTCACTGACTAACCGGCTTCTGCTGATTAATCCCTGTTAAACTCTTCAGATTACACACGAGTTAGTTCGATTTATAGGTTTCACTTCTCACTTTTACTGCTGATGGCGAGAACAAGAGCGTAACACCTGCTCTGGTTTGCATATTTCATGTCTGCTCATACTGAGCTGCACTGAGCCTCAGAGCACCTGAGTTGCAGGAAGCCTGGAAACCAATCACGGAGCAGGACTCAGGTATGATTAACAGCTGTCAGTAATGTTGGTATGTACTTATTGTTAGGGCTGCCCATGTGACCGTTTCAAGTACTTCATGTATATCAACCTGCCAAAGAGCAGCACAGACAAACCGTTAATGAGGAAGCTGTTATCCTCAGATTTTAATTAAACTTTAAAAGCTTAAAATAGTTCCAATGCCACATAATACAGAGCTGCAATACATGCAGCAAAAGTCACGCCGAGCCTCTAACTTCATCTCGTTATGTCAGAGGTTTAACTCGGCCCTAACAGAGTTAATCCCATCTGCATTAACTCTAAGATTACCACCTGATGAACTGTGCTGGCCTCTCCATGGCCTCAGCACCACCCTTTAGCCACTTTGTGGAGGATCTTCAGAGCACTGGGAGCTCATGGAAACTTACTGGGACTCGAACCTGCTCACTGTAACAAACAGAAATCAGGTCTTTTGTAACGCGATCTTTGGCAAACGCAAAATTAAAGCCTCTCAGAAGATGAGACGTGCTTTATTCAAGTTCCCGTGACAAAGCAGTCGCCAACATATTCAATGCAACATTGAAAAAGCAGTTAAATAAATTAGAGTCACTCAATAAAATAAAATCTGACAAAATACAATCCAGAAGTTTTTGATTTCTTTGTATTTTATAGATGTTTCTGCTGTTTTTTTAAGTGCTCTTTAGCAATACTTCTCCAGGCTTTCAAAGTAACTATGATCCAAGCATAAAAAAGGATCTTAACTCAGATGAACCAGTGTTGTCTCCACACATAACAGAATATTAGCAAAGAACCAGTTTACTATTTTATGACAACAGCAGTGTGTCATAAAAAACACAATCATTCTTTCTGTCATTAAGTTGCCAAAGATGACACAGTTTCACAGGCACAAAATAATATTTTTACAACAACAACATTATTCACAAAGATCTGTTAGCTGAAAACTTAGATTTAAAATCTATCTTTAGCAGATGATCAATATCCATGAAAAATATGAGAGGAGGACCTTCAGCTGATCAGCTGCTGATCACTGAAGCCTCATCAGAAAAGGTCTCAGTGGAAGAGCGGCTGTCAAGAAGCTGTTCTTAAGGAAGGGAAACAGAGAAAAGGTTGATTATTAAAATGACACAAGAACGACTGAAAATTGTTGAACCAGATCTGAGGGAGAGATGAGATGTTGTCAGGAGGGAAAAACACACAGTAGAGTGATATCAGTCATGGATCGGACCCCCCAGTGCCCGGACCTCAAGATTACTGAAGTAGTGTGGGATTATCCTACATCCTTTTATTACACACAGGATCAAAATCAGTCTACAGCAGATGATCAATATCCATGAAAGATGTGAGAATACCCACTATAAGTGCACAGTATATATGTTCAAAGGTTGTATATGGCACAAAATATAAACATTATCTTTATTTAATCTTGTTATTCTGTAAATATCCGATTTTATTTTAAGGGCTGAAACTCATGATAATGTATAGATTCATCTTTTTATTAATAGTTTGATTAATAGTTTCTACAAAACCAAAATTTGCTTGAAAAATAGTCAATCATTAGAATCGATGCGCTAATGTCAGTTTTCTGTCGACTCGTTTCTGCACCGCTTGGTTTTGTCTTATTTCTGATTCTGCTCCCTCATATTGTCACATTTTATAATCTTTACAGCATTGTCTTTTTTTACAGGTGAACGACATCCCAGATTTCCTCAGTGGGAAGCATCAGGAACGCTGCCAACACATACGGATCGTCTACGTCACCAAAAAACCTGCAGCGAAGCAACGCAATTGGTTAAAGAGAGCCAAGAAAGAGGGCCTTCCTCCTGCAGCCCCGTCCTCTCGCCGAAACAGCCACTGTCCTGAAATAACAAGCACATTACAAGGTAACTGAGACAGTTTATGTAATTTGATGATGCTACGCAATGATATCAGACTGAAGTTTATGCTTTTTGTAAGACGAGTCAGAGACATGTGGAATGGTCTCTTCAGAGATTTGATCCTTTGGAAAGACACCAGTGAGGTTTATGTGTCGTCTTGTTTCTTTATCTGTAACTCTAGCCATCCTGTGTTTCCATTTCCTCCACAGGATTTTCCACAGAGAGGTGAGTAAAACACAGACACACTTCAGAAGCATGTTTTATTTGAGGATACTCACACATAAAGGCTTTTAAGTCCTCCCTGCAAACACATTACGTAATGCCAGTGTTGAATTTGGTTATAATCATTTTAGAAGCTGCAGAGTGTGCAGGAGTGAGGCAGACAGTGAAAGTTTATGTGTGGGATACTTCAACACTGTAATGTGGTTGTCTGTTGTGAACTTGTTAACAGCTGAGCCACTTTACCTGAGTATGTAATGACCACCCCAGTGTCTCAGGTAGCTCATGACTTATTTACTCCAGGGACTAGTTTACCTGCTGCTCATTAACATGTTCACAGAGTGACTCCAGTGTTGCTCCTCAATATCACACCTGCAGTGCTTCATCCACACACCAGGCAGCAGGTAACATCCACCTGGTACTGCTGGTCCATCATTTATCCTTTTTCAGCAGAATGTGCCCACTGATGATTGAAATGTAGAGATGTGTTTTCCAAACACGTTTTTATAAATTCCCACAGCAAGAGGACCTGCTGGTTCGCTGCTGGACAGTTTGCATTTTTACTTGGTTGCATGCGGGGCTCCGATCCTCCTTGAGTTCTTCTGTGAATGAGGCAGGAGATGGAGGGAGGAAGGAACAGATTTACTGTCATTGAACTGTTGCCTGGTAACGACGAAGCACTGTAAAACAGACGCAAACAGCATAAAATGTAAAAGCTGTCTCACGCTAATGTTCCCTGCTGCTCAGCTGTGCTCACCCCCGGTAGGTCATTAAACGTACACACTTTTCTTTCACTGCCACTCCCAAACCTTAGACTGCTTGTAAAGTTGAACCTAAGGATGAGCTGACAGCGTGAAGTCTCAGGAGCACGACTATCATGACTGTGTGAATCTACCTGAGAGCTCTTTCTGTTTTTAAGCTGCAACATTTGTGCAGAAAAACAATAAAGAAGTTCTGAAAAGCAAAGCATATTTTAGAGGCTTATTTGGCTCTAGTGTGACGTTAATTTACTACATGAACCTTGTGTTGTGTTCAGGTAGACTTCAAACTAGCAACCGAGACCATTAGCTGATCAGGAAAGTGTTTTTAATTGTTTTGTGCAGCTGGAATACGACATGAAACTCACACAGTTGATGATGCAGACACTTCACAGAAACCTGATGTCTGCGCTGTTTCTTCTCTCCAGCAGCCAATGGAGGAAGGAGGAGCTCCCCCCAGTGTTAAAGCACACCCGCTCAGCCTCGTGCCCGAACCCAGAGACTCTCGGCCTCACGAGAGTCCCGCAGCCTCCCCCCTTTTACTCCCCCTTAGTCTCACCTGCCTCATCGCCATTGCTCTCAGAGAAAAGCCTGAAGACCCTCGAGAGTGGTCAGGTATAAACGTGCGGCTGTTCCGATGAAGATCTACTCAAATTCAATTTGAAGTAACTTAGACAAGGGTCACACGTCTCTGTAAATTTGGTCGAGCTCTGTTGTGTGTGCTGTTACAGTTACAAAGGAGGATCGGTTCGGTCCTGTCACGTCTGCTGAGACGAGGCTGCGTGGACAGCGAGGAGGAGTGGGAGGCGGAGCTCCACCTGTACGCCGTCTCAGAGAAGTCCAGACTTTACCTCCACCTGCAGAGCTTGTGGAACAGCTTCAGTATTGTGAGTGAAGACTGTCTATGAATAGTATTTAACACATTGACTGTTAGCTTTAGAAATGTTGTGGTTATTTATATGAAAGTGGAGCTTAAAGGTGCCCTGTGGATTTTTGGAGTAGATAAGTAAATGTCACAGTGTGCAGGTTATACAGAGCGTGTCCTGTGTAATGATATGGACTTTAAATGCAGTCACAGAAAACAGGGATTAACTTTTGTATGTAACAAAAGGCAAGCTGTTTGTTACATACACACAGACACAGAAAGGTAATGAGGGAAGTGGAGATAGCTGGGAGAACAAAACACAGCTGAGCTAAATCACAGAGGATGAGACAAAAGAAGCAAAACTGAAAGCAAACACAAGGAACAACTATCAAAATGAAGCAGGAAGTGAGGCACAACTGAAAGGGGGGCGAGAAAGATAAAAGGACAGAATGGGAGCACTAAAGGGAACTAATCACCCTAAAGTAATCTGTAACTACACTGAGAACTAGTTTAGTTATAACGATAAAGAACTAATACCAAGAACCAGAAGATCAGAAAGGCTCATAAACACAAAGAAAATACAAAATAAGAAAAAACAGGAAGTATAAAATGAAAAAGTATAAAAGTATAAAACATGTGTCTGATGGTGTACTCGCTCAGATTTCTGAGGTGTGTGTGTGTGTGTGTGTTCAGAGGTCCACCCTTTTGTTAGATCCGCTCTACAGAAGGAGGAACTGCGTTTCATTGTCTGCTGCTGCCATCAGGTAATAAACTGTTCTGTGCAGACTGCAGACACACAACTTCCTGCTTGTCCAGTCAGAATAAAGGTCACAGGTCAGTTTGTTACTGTGGAAACAGAAATCATTCACTCATAGACTACACTGGACATAGCCACTGTGACGGCACCCACTGGTTTTGGACTCCACTCTACTGATTAGTGCTGTGGATACTCTCTGAGACTGAAGCCGAGGCGTCCTGGAGTAGCTGTAGATTACAGTATGGTAGCTCCCCACAAAGCTCCAGCTCAGTGACTGCAGTTAGCTGAGGTGAAGCCTATCAGACAGCTGGCAGCTACAGCCGCCTGCATCAGCCACGCATAATCATGCAGAAGTTCACATTCAGGAGAACTGCACTTCTTTTGCATCAGCTCCAGATGTTTCACTGCACATTTAATATTTGCAAACACGTACATTTGTTTAGTTTACATTTGAGTGGAGCTTAAATAATGAGACCATGAAATATTTTTAATGAACTGAAATATTATTTTATCTTGGCTGTGCTGAGCTGTAGCGCTCATATTCCAATATAAAGATTTATATAAAAACATTTCCAGAGATTTCGACCTGCTCTGAGAAACCTCATCTGAGCCCTGAAGGTTCATCACAGCGGACTGTGACGAGTTTAGGCTCATTTAAACTTGTTATTGCTAACAGGCTCAAACGTCGGTATTAATGTTGATGTTATATTTAAGCTGGGAGCGGACGGCTCACCTGTTTGGCCAGCTGAGCTCCGAGCTCCTGCAGGACGGGAGCAGCGTGGAGAGTATGTACCTGCTGCTGCAGGAGCTGAGGACCGCCGCGCACCGCAGCGTTACCCTGCGCCGGCTCTTCTGGAGGGTAAAGTTTATAAAACCTGCTCGGCACTGTGTGTTTGACGTACAGAACGTGCCTGTGAGTTGCAGTGAATGACTCATTTTCTGTTTTCCAGTCCAGTGAGGTGTGTACTTTCCTGCTCTGCACTCTGGAGGGATGTCTTCACGGCCGCCAGAGCCTCGGTGGACTCTACACAGCAGATCAGCTCCTGTAAGCCCCTTAGCAGGTGTTCATAGCTCCACAGAGGCGAGATTTCAGATTCATTAAGGTGTTTCTTTGACTGTATTCAGCGTGGCGATTACAGAGATGATGTGCATTATTTCACAGCTGTTTCCAGAAAGTGGGTTTTGTGAAAACTTCAGATTTTTGAAGCCTGAGATGAGGGAAACTGAGTTTTCTTTAAACAAGCTAACTTAAACTTAGTTTGCATTAACAGCATAACACACTGTGAACCTAACCTGCTCACTGGCAGGTTTCCTCTCTCTGCCTTCTCCTGTCGAGCCTGAAGCAGTTTCACCTCCTCATTCATAAAGTAGATAATAAAGAACATGTAAAGAGCTGAAGTTTACATTATAGTCCCATTAATGTTCGCACTTATCGGTACTGAGAACAGGTCCTGTTATTGTTGCGTGCGGTTATACCAACAACAGCAGTATTCACAGGATTCAGTTTGTTCAGGAACAAATCCAGAGTGAGTGGATGAAGACCGCAATATTACCTAAAACACTGAAAGAATCTGCGACTGTGATAATATTTATAGTAACAATATAATAACTAACTGCAGGTCATATCTTCCTTGCTGTGTGTTGCTATGACGATGATGATGAGCATGTGACTGAAGCTCTGCTGTTTGTGTTTCAGACTGAGCTCTCTGATCGTTGACACGCTCGCCATCATGTTCAGAGAGACGGAGGTCGAAGCTGCCAGACTCAGCCTGCTCTCTGCCAAAAAGTAAACAGAACACAGTGTATGTTTGTTCCTTTCATTAAACAGTCCTCATTTCAGGTATGTTGAAATATCTGTTGGCAGCTCCTGTAAAGGCCTAAAAGGAGCTTAGATTGGAATAAAGAGATTTTCTATGTATCTACAAGTGAGGGATCCACATCTAAGGAAGTCAATACACTAACTGACACAGTGATGATACACAATGACACAGAGGACTACAGAACTACTCGAAGGGTTTAGGATCAAAATGAAATGAATACTGGACACATTAAGTTAAATGGGAAGAGAACACTGGCATATCACACGAGGCTGAAGTTCAGGGTTGAGTTCATAACATCCACTAAAGAAGTGGCGAGTAAACATCAGTTGTTTTTTTTAATCATATATCAGGAGTAAATCGTCCGAGTCATTGGAGGCAGTGCAGAAACCAAAGTACCTGAGGAAAAGTTAAAATGCCGAGATATGAGATTCCCCGTACTGCTGAAGTTTAGGATTTCTGCCTTTTTGAAGAGGATGTGGTTACAAAAGAAGACTGGTGTCTTTGTGAAATATTATAAAAGAAAAATTCTTGTAAAAACTGGTATAAATCTGAATCATACAGGCTTGAACGATAGATGGATAATGATGCCAGTGTGATGGCAAAAACTGAATTCAGTCTGAGCTCCAGAGGAGTCTTTACTTATTTTTTTTTCTGTATTAAAATGAGAGAAATGTACACAGATTCATGGCTTATAGACTGATGTGTCTCCAGTGTGTTTGTGAGGTTTATCTATTAACAATAGTAAATAAAAAGTGAGAAAATAATAAATGTGATTATTCTCAGGGAGATTTTCTATCATTTCTTTGGTTGCAGCTGGAGCTGCTTTCCTTTGTTGTAGTCTGGTGAAACCCAGAGAAGAGTTATAAAGCTCATTTCCAGATGTTAGCACACCTTCCCTTTTCTGCATTAACTGTTGTTTCCCTGCAGAGGTGCTCTGGCCTCCCGAATGCTGCTTGCCTTAATATGTGACCCTCAGCCACAAACTCACAGCGGAGGATTTCTGACGTACTCAGAGGTGAGCTGCTCTCTGCTCACATCAAGTGTCTTTCATGTGCCTTCGATGCATTAAACCTTGTGCCTCTTACAGCTTCAGGCCTTACTCCCTGAGTATCTGGACACCGCCGCCTCTCTGCTCTTTGAACTGCTGCTCGTAGGCCACGTGGTGAGTTTGATAAAGCGTACAACGGGGGCGCTTCTCAGCTGTGAGTAAAATGTGTTTATGCAACACCTCAGGCTCTCCTGGGAATTACAAAAACTAAACAACTGTAACACTGATGAAGCACTAATGAATTAATACACGTCAGGTATTAAGCAGAATATTATTAATCAGAAGATTAAAGAACGGCTACTGAAGCTGATGGTCAGTAATCAATAAATACACACAACACAGAACGCTATTGCAGGTACAATGTATTTAAACAAAACCAAGGAAAAATAACAAGGAAAGAAAAGGAAAAACTTAAATAATTACTCCTGGTGCAGTGGTGCCCGGTTTAAGGTGCACAAAGACAACTAAACAGTCTTGTAGCTTAGATCAAGCAATACAGTTTCTCAAGTTCAATAATATTCCCCATAAATAACACACCACCAATTCAAAAACACTGGTCCACACTGATGAGAGAAAGTCCATGATTTTTATCTGGGTGTCCATGAGAAATGTCCAAGCGCTATTGTCCATAAACGGGGGAAATGATGTGTTAAGAATCCTGCTCCCTGCCCTTTGTTGGCTCGCCATCCTTTTTAAACCAGAAAAGGGTCACCTGGCCTGCATTAAATAAACAGGGCCAATAAGAAATCACAAGAATAATATGAAAGTGTCAGCCAGTTTAGCTTAATACATTAAGTTATTCTTATTCTTGTGTACACAGTAGACTTATCTAAAAAGTTCAACTGCTATATACAGATTGCATAGCTTTAAAACATTTGTTATTTGCTATGATATGGTCCAAGAAAGCTCTGAATATCCACATAACAAGAAACAAACACAGTTTTTGTTCAACTCTTCGTGTTTCAGACCAGCAGGTGTGTCTCTGCTGAAAACTTCCTGTCTGTCGGTTGGATCCTCAGAGTCCTGCAGCCTCATCCCCACCTGGTAAAGGTCTCATCAGATTTAACTGTGATTTCTGTCAGAATGATAAGAATTACTCAAACGCTGACCCTCTCCGTCCCCGCAGCTCTCCTTCATTGGTTACCAGGTCCAGCAGGTGGTGTTGGTTCTGACGGGCCTGCAAGTGTCGGTCCCCAGTCCCGTTCAGTCCGTCCTGCTGTTCCAGCGCCTCAACCTCCTGCTGGCCTGTCTGCAGTACAACAGCCAGCTGGCTCAGCACCTGCGCTCGCATTTCAGAGAGGAGTTCAGGTATGCTCAAGACAGCCACAACAGTCACTAAGTACATACGTGCTCATGTTAACTTCTTATTATAAAGAAGAAATGTGTAAATGCTCCAAAGTCTGACAGCTCAGATCTGTTTTGGTCCTGCAGATACTCTGTGATGCCGTCGGGCTCTGAAGTGAAGCTGCCACCTCACTATCCTATCAGCCGACCCACTCTGAGACTTGTCGAGCACATTCGAACTCTTATGCTGCTCAGGTGACTGAACACCAGCGTGCTCCTAGCCTTCACTTTACACAAAGGCATCCTCAGGGAAGGAAGCAGGATTTGGAGTCCTCGGGATGCTCGGCTTAAAGTTTCTGGATTATTATATATCACAGACATCTTACTGTTAGACAGAGAGATGGAGATATATGCTTGGCCTGTAAAGACTGTTCAAATGATGTGCACTCCTAATAACCTGAAGCGGTTCTCTGACAGTCCATCAAGTGGTGCGGCTTCGTAGCTTAGCAAAGTCGGACTGAAACATTAGACAGATTTTCGAGCGCCATGTACCACATAAAATTGTTTCGAGGTCAGTAAATACAACCAGAATTAATAAATAAGGCGCACAGGATTATAAGGGACACTGTCGATTTTCAGATTTTAAGTGCGCCGTATTTTCCAAAAAACACGGTAATAACGACGGCCCGCTAGCATGCTCTACCAAAAATAGTGCTTTGTTGTGCATCTGACAGACGAAAGCTAAACCAGTTCCACACCACTGAAGTTGCAGCATTTTTACAAACCAATTCTGGTTCATCCGTTTCATTCAACAATCCGCTTTCGCCCTCCTCATTTTCCGTTGCCGCCATGCTTTTCCCGCCATGTGCATATGAAAACAAAGGCACTGCGCATGCGCGTTTACCCATATTCTATCGCGATATTTCATTTTCTTATCGTTGCCCAACATTATACCGGTGTTACCATGAACGGTATGATATGCATAGGATCTTTTCCTTCCATATGCATGACTGTAATAATTGCATCCAGCCATGATTTTGGCGTCTCTTGAGTTTAGTGTAGAGTTATATACTTTGCATTAGAGCTGGGCGATATATCGAGTTTTTAAAAAATATCGATATATTTTTATACGAGATATAAGATGTGACAATATCCTTTATATCGATATAGTCTATGTTACGTTATAATTATACTTGCGGAGCCGCAAGTTTGCCTCTCTTTCGTCCACTTTCGTCTTTACGCAACGTTACTCGGCCTCGCCTCTCCTTCACTGAACACAACTCCCCCTCCTCCCCCATCGCTTCACCTGCAGGAAGCGACAAGATGGACACGGCAAATCCGTTAACGAGTTACTGCGCATCGCCCCGTGCGTGGGGCTGGACGGCGTCAACGTGTTAGCTAGCTAACCACGCTAACGAGCTAACCACGCTAACGCCATGCAGCCCAGAGGTGCTGCACGGACTAAAATCCTTTCATTTTCTCAAAAGTTGACAGCGCGCCTTATGTATGAATTCTGGTTGTGCTTGATGGCCGCGAACCGATTTTATGTGGAACACGGTGCTCAGCAATCTGTCAAAAAATGTTTTAGTACGACTTTGGTAAGCTACGGAGCTGCAGCGCTTGATGGATTGTCGGAGCATTACGGCTGAGCCTCGCGGAGTGATACGTACTGTGCTTCAACGTAATATTACCCTACTGTGTATAAGGACCATAAATGGCACCTGTTAAGAGACGTGGTTGCGAAGCGGATTTCAAACTCCGGGTTGTCAGTCACGCAGTACAAGTTGGGAACAGAGCAGCTGTGAAATCTGTCCTTGTTATAGTGCTCGTCTTTTAGTTTACATTTTGACTGCACATTTGTGAGCTTTTTGTTATGCACAAAAACAACATTGTTTTCTTTTATTTATGGAGCATTATTATTTAATAAATGCTCATAATTTATTTTTGAGTAAATTTTATGTACATCTGCTCTATGTTAATAAAAGTGCCTGTGTGACATCTGGGACACAGCTTTGACTAAGAACTCTCTTTTTGTTCTTACTTTATGGCTTAAAAAAATATATATCGAGATATATATCTTATATCGCCATCCAGCTAAAAAATATCGAGATATGAATTTTGGGTCATATCGCCCAGCCCTACTTTGCATAATATGGGGGGTTATTTATTGTTTTTAAATTTAGCATTGACTCTTTTATTTTATTTCAGCTTCTGTGATAGGTACTACTAATTTAGTTTATTCCATCATTGATATTTTAGCCAATTTAAGGGGTTTAAGGAACTCAATTTTTTTTGTTTCCGAGGTTTTTGTGCTTCCTCCTTTACAACTGTCTGTAATATTTTACATAAGTATTGAATATTTCTTTAGTTTGAGTTTCATTTCTTGATTTCTGATCTTAGGAACTGTGCTTTTCTGAGCTGAAAGGCCAATAACAGTTTTTATTAATATCTGAGACCCTCTTCTGCCTTGTATGGTAGTAGCTCATCTAATTGTTGTCTAGCTTCTTTTAGCTTTTTAAATGTATATTGTTGATGTTCTCTCTCTAGTCTTTTTACTTTGTCTTTAAATTGTCATTTGATCTTATATTCATTTTCATAACAACTGGGCTATGGTCAGAAACAATGATTGATTCAATTGTCATCTGTTTTATCCTATACATGTAGATTTTTGACATGAAAAGTCTATTGTTGGGAAATCAGTTTTACCCAGGTTCTTTTTCATTCTTCGAGCATCCAGAGATGCACTGGACTCAGTAGTTATTTCACAAAAACTTTATTCATCTTTATTTAAGCATGCATTCTTCTAGAAGGGAAGACTTGCCAGGCCGGTGTCCCTCTGCAAAATCTTCACTCCTTTGTTATTTACTGCCAGCTTTATAGAAGTGACCCCATCATAACACCCCCACGGTGTGCTGCAAACTCTTTGTCTGTGTGCACGAGCACGTGAGTGCCTGTGTGTGTGCATACCCGTATGTCTATGTGAGTGCACGTGAGTGAGTGTATGCGCGTACCTGTGTGTATGTGTGAGTGCACGTGAGTGTGCGTGTGGATGTGTGTGCGTAACAGTTAAAACACTATGTGCGTATATCTCTATGTACGTGCCTTCCTGAGGGTCATAAAAGTCCATCTCCCTTCCAAATCAAAGTTATTTAGTTACAAACTTTGAGACTCCCACCCAGTCATGCCCTGAGGAATTTCCACTCAACATTAACCTCTCCTTGTCTCACTTTCACAGTTCAAACTGGGGGAGGGTCTCCTAGAAATCTACTCCTAAGTTTATGACACACTCAGGCCTTTATTACATCGAGGGCAGTGTCAGTGTCTCTACAATAATTCTACATTCTAACACATTTCTAAACTCTAAAATAGGTACGCATATCTTCACTATCCTTGTGTATCTTCCATGTATTTGGGACACGAATGTAAAATTTCTGTTGTTAGGATGAAAATGACACCAGACATCCACCAGTTCCAGTTCAGTCATCATGCCTAGTAGGTCATTTTGGACTGAGGTTTTATTATTACCAGTAATATGTCTAGTTTAGTCTTCAGAGTACAAATTAAAATCTCCTCCCCTGAGTATAATTCCTCCTCCTTTATCTGCCACAAAAGGTGCAATCCCTTTTAAAAAGTGCAGTCTTCATTTTGGGCATACACATTTAAATTTTTTTTCTCTTGATTGGGTTAATGATTCTGCTTACATTATAATTTACAAAATGTAAATAAGTCATAATCTCTGTACAATAATATATGCTTCCCTTATTTAAACAATAAACATATTTAACTATCTAACAATGTGTTGACAGCTCCGTGCCCCTCTTTCTCTGCAGCGCATTTTGACTTCGAGCTCCTTCAGCAGCCTCTGTTAGTGTTGCAAAGGTCTTCTCTGTGGTATCCAATTTAATTTTCACTTCTGCCAGGTACAGACATTTCGCCTGCACTTTCTTTTTATTTTAGTTGTTTTATGATTTCGTGAACCTTAGCTCTTTTCTACATTGGGAGTGTAGTCTTGATTGAAGAAGATCCGTTTATCTTGGAAGAAGACCTGTCTCTGGCTCCATGCTTGCTCTATAATCTTATCTTTTATTGCTGCATTGAGGAACGTCACTATCATTCTTGAAGTAGCTGTTTCACAAACCTGACCGTATCCTTTCCTTCACTTCCTTTTGAGATCCATACATCTCAATCTGTTTTGGAGATCCTTGCACTTTGCTGAGAGATCCATATCGCGGTGAATCAAGTATTGCAAACCGCTTTCGTGTCACATGACTTTGAGCCATACTGACACTTTTCTTTTTATGTGTCTGGTTGGCTTGAGTTGCTAGCATTGGTGTTTAAGCTAGCTGGACTCTATGGTCTCTGTTTATCTTCTCTTCTTTTCCAGGTATCTTTAAGAGTTCTTTCTCTCACGGCTTTATGTATTTTGTTGTTTTCTTTATTTAACTGCCTATTACGTACAATAGCTACTTGTTTTCTCGTTGTCTGGAGGGCAACCATGGCTTCACCTGAGGTTAATTAGTCAAACAATTACATTAAGACAATAATACACTGTCTTAAATAGAATAAAATTACTGAAAATATCAGTGAAAGTATGTATGTAGTGTATATAATAATATTTCTTAGCATTGAAAGTACTGTGTATGGATGAAAGGTGTTTTTAGGGTCTTAAAGCAACAGTTTAGACTAATGATATGGGGGGAAAACACGTACTCACTATGAGCTTACATAATCAAGCAAGGTTCATAATAAGAAATATGGTTATAAAATTATTATGGCTTCATGCCTGCATTGAAACAACAACACACTTTGAGCTTTTTTGACACAGAATCCTAGTGTTAACAAATACCTGCGTACGTGTGGACATAGCCTGACTCATCTAAGTAAAGCAGTTGCAGAATGAAACCATGGTCAGTATATCACACCAGTGATTCGACATCATGTGACTCTCACAGTTTTGCTTTAACACTCGGGCTATGGTACAAGTGAAGCTGCAGAAAACTCAAGCTCTTCCTCCAGGAGTCTTCCTGAGCATCTGAATGAGCTTTAGTGTGTCCTCCCCACAGTAATATCACTGAAAAACACACAGTTACAGAGCTAACTAATAAAGCACAAAGCAGAAGATTTTAGCAACCTGGTGTGTAAACATATTTTTAAGGGACCTCAAAATTCAAACCCTTGATTTTCAGGTGTACCTAATACAGGGAGTGCAGAACTATTAGGCAAATGAGTATTTTGTCCACATCATCCTCTTCATGCATGTTGTCTTACTCCAAGCTGTATAGGCTCGAAAGCCTACTACCAATTAAGCATATTAGGTGATGTGCATCTCTGTAATGAGAAGGGGTGTGGTCTAATGACATCAACACCCTATATCAGGTGTGCATAATTATTAGGCAACATCCTTTCCTTTGGCAAAATGGGTCAAAAGAAGGACTTGACAGGCTCAGAAAAGTCAAAAATAGTGAGATATCTTGCAGAGGGATGCAGCAGTCTCAAAACTGCAAAGCTTCTGAAGCGTGATCATCAAACAATCAAGCGTTTCGTTCAAAATAGTCAACAAGGTCACAAGAAGCATGTGGAAAAACCAAGGCGCAAAATAACTGCCCATGAAGTGAGAAAAGTCAAGCGTGCAGCTGCCAAGATGCCACTTGCCACCAGTTTGGCCATATTTCAGAGCTGCAACATCACTGGAGTGCCCAAAAGCACAAGGTGTGCAATACTCAGAGACATGGCCAAGGTAAGAAAGGCTGAAAGACGACCACCACTGAACAAGACACACAAGCTGAAACGTCAAGACTGGGCCAAGAGATATCTCAAGACTGGTTTTTCTAAGGTTTTTTGGACTGATGAAATGAGAGTGAGTCTTGATGGGCCAGATGGATGGGCCCGTGGCTGGATTGGTAAAGGGCAGAGAGCTCCAGTCCGACTCAGACGCCAGCAAGGTAGAGGTGGAGTACTGGTTTGGGCTGGTATCATCAAAGATGAGCTTGTGGGGCCTTTTCGGGTTGAGGATGGAGTCAAGCTCAACTCCCAGTCCTACTGCCAGTTTCAGGAAGACACCTTCTTCAAGCAGTGGTACAGGAAGAAGTCTGCATCCTTCAAGAAAAACATGATTTTCATGCAGGACAATGCTCCATCACACGCGTCCAAGTACTCCACAGCGTGGCTGGCAAGAAAGGGTATAAAAGAAGAAAAACGAATGACATGGCCACCTTGTTCACCTGATCTGAACCCCATTAAGAACCTGTGGTCCATCATCAAATGTGAGATTTACAAGGAGGGAAAACAGTACACCTCTCTGAACAGTGTCTGGGAGGCTGTGGTTGCTGCTGCACGCAATGTTGATGGTGAACAGATCAAAACACTGACAGAATCCATGGATGGCAGGCTTTTGAGTGTCCTTGCAAAGAAAGGTGGCTATATTGGTCGCTGATTGGTTTTTGAATGTCAGAAATGTATATTTGTGAATGTGGAGATGTTATATTGGTTTCACTGGTAAAAATAAATAATTGAAATGGGTATATATTTGTTTTTTGTTAAGTTGCCTAATAATTATGCACAGTAAGTCACCTGCACACACAGATATCCCCCTAAAATAGCTAAAACTAAAAACTACTTCCAAAAACATTCAGCTTTGATATTAATGAGTTTTTTGGGTTCATTGAGAACATGGTTGTTGTTCAATAATAAAATTATTCCTCAAAAATACAACTTGCCTAATAATTCTGCACTCCCTGTATAGTGGTTACAACCAGAAATTCTTCCTGGAAGTCAGGTTGAAGTGTGTGTGAGTATGTGAGAGAGAGAAAGAAACTGACCCTTCTTTTTACTGTTTAGTATGATAAACTTCGTAGCTCTAAAATGAGGAGAGAATGGCGGCTCAATCAGGTGTCCAGCACCCGGATACGCTAATCTGCTCAGCAGGTGTTCCTTTCCACCTTCACGCAACAACCTGGCCACCTGTGGGTCAGAGGTCAACTTTAATTTTATGCTGACATCATCATTTAACAAAGTTCATATTCTGAAATTTTTATTGTTTTTGGAGTGTGAATACATCTTTTAAACCAATGCTCTTAGAACAGGGGTCTCAAACTTAAATGAGCTGTGGTCCATTGCTGGCACTGTCATCTCATTGGAGGGCCACTTTGGTGTTCAAGTAGAAAACAAACTTAAAAAAAACAAAAAAAAAACAAGAAACCACGCACAAATTTTTTATTTTTTTTTAAATTTCAAATACTGTATAACAAACCATAAATTCGAATGTGAACGAAATATTCTTCCCCCCCCCCTCACTCTTAACTAACTTTCATTAAACTACCAAATAAACAAACTGGTACTCTCTCTTAATGGCCAGACACGTGGCAGCACTTCTGCTATAATTTTGTTTGTATTTAACAAAATAAAAATGCGGAAATAAGTGTACGCATTAGTTTTGGACTACTAGTGAAAATAGTTTTCTTTACAAATAACTCTCTCACTGAACTAACACAGCCAGTCCCTCAACATGTTTGGGCTCTCTGCTCATATTGCCTTTATATTAAATAATGTTTTGCTTTTTAAAGAACCTTTTTTAATATTGCTTTCAACAAAAAACAAATTCTCCCTAACAAAAAAAAAAAGTAACTTCAAAGGCCAAATTGCATTATATTTCTTCATGTCAATATACGGCCTGCAAGCAGGGATGACGTGGGCCATAAGTGGACCCCAGGCCACGGGTTTGAGACCCGTGTCTTAGAGCATCACTAACCTCCTCCGCTGTCTCCACTGTAGGCCAGTTCTGATCGTCACAGCCATTAACCAGCAGCATCGGGCAGTTAATTCTCCCCACCTGTCAACAAAGCAGATTTAAAAATCCCACAGGAACTAAGAGGTCCAACTCAGGTTTGGAGAGGTCATTAGGTCTACTGGTAGTATAATGCAGTATAATACAGCACTCACTTCCACGTTGTTTGAGGGGTCAGCGATAAGATCCAGACCAAAACTTCTCCAGCTCATATAGTTGTTCTCATCGAAATGTGCCTTGTGAAAATGCCTATGATACATATTAGTAACAATAATTTGTATTATCATTAAATTTTCATGACAAACAGTCAACAGTACGTACTTGCTTAGTATTTTAAACCCGGCCTTCAGGGTGGTCCCAGGTGGGTGATAGTGATTGCTGCTGATGCAAACAATGCAGCGAGGCTGGAACACAATGATAAATCAAAACATTTGATGTTGCACATTGAATTAAAAGACCCAAAGACCAGCTTCCAACTTAGTTTTCAACAAAACATGGAATGTTTAAACCTCCTGGAATTGCCATTTTGACCATCTGCATTGAAGGTCTCTTTTATGTGCTTATTTTTGTCATACTGAAAAATGTAAATGTACATCTTTTTTTCTCAATTGCACAAAGTTGGCAGAACCCATATAGACACATTAATGGAAAATACTAAGCTGCACTTCAACCAAAAACTTTTCCACTCTTTTCCAACTGGGAACACAGCTGTGAACGGTCTCAGTGCAAGCTGGAGGTCATCAGGTGATGAAGCCAGAAGAACCACGTCACCTGCAAAAACCAGATGTGATCCTGACACCACTAAAAGGGAGTATGCCTGCCACTTGGTTCCACCTAGAATTTCTGTCCCATAAATTGAGACCAGAATTTGTGATAAAAGGCAGACCTGACTGACTTCAGGTCAAACTCTGAGTGAGTCCAACTTATTGTTGGAAAAAAAAAACACCAAGCTCTCATTACAGTTGGGCAAGGACTGAACAGCCTGCAACAATCAGACAGAGATCCCAACCTCCTCAGGACATCCCAGGGCATATCCTCTCTAAGTCTACGAAACATGCAGACTGGTTGCGCAAACTCCCACAGACCCTCAAATGTCTTTAAGAGGATAAAGAGCTGGTCCACCCCAGGTTGACCTCTCCACGAGTTGTGAGCGAGTCGTCCCCCTCATTATCCGCCTCTGTTTTCTCTAAAGAAGGCGAGTAGGTGTGATTGAGATGACTGTTGAAATACTCCTTCGACTCCCGGACTGGGTCTCATGCATACTGTACACAGTGTGAGTACAGCATTGCTTCCCCTACTTGAGACACCTGATGGTTTTCTGGAACTGCTTCAAGACCAGTTGAAAGTTTTCCTCCATGGCTTCTAGGGCTGCACTCTGCTTGGCCTGCCAGCACTTGTCAGCTGCAGCAAGAGTTCTGGAAGATATCCAAGCTCGATAGCACTCTGTGGTGGTGCGTGGTCTGTGGTCCATGCGGATGGATGTAAAAATAAAGATGGCTCAAAACACGGATCTGTGGTCCTGTCGTGCCTTAACCCCACCACACTGGTGCCGAAACCCAGGATGCGGCATGAGCAGGTGCTCACGGCTGTGCCCGCACGGTCATGCCAGTTCGCCAGGTGGCCGACCGCCGGGCCAGCATTGCCGCTATAAGTGTGGCCGGCCTCCGGACCAGCATTGCCATCACCGTAGGAGACTTGGGCGGCCTCAGCAAAAGACACTGCCCTGTCGTTGGGTTGAGGCCGGTGGGGCGGGGGAAGTAGGTAGGTTCAGCTGGATGGCTCCCTGGCCTCAGTTGAGCGATGGGGTGTGTGGTGGGGCGTGGTCTGTGGTGCCTTGTGGACGCACCTGCAGATCACGCCTGCGGTGTTAAATCACGGAGAAGCAGGATTGAGAGGGTTGTTGTGGTGGTGGGACAAATGTAAAAATAAACATGGCTCAAAACACGGATCTGTGGTCCCGTCATGCCTTAATTCCACCACATACTCGTTCTCCAGCTCAATGGATTCCTTCCTCTCTGGTGTAAATCTGGTTCTGAGGAAACCACTATGACTGGTGCCAATGATTTTATGGGCAAAACTCTGTACAAATATCTTGGCAGTGACAATAAATGGAACATGGTCCACTCAGACTCTCTCAGACTCTGTATCCCCAGCCTCCCTCTGGATGTTGTTTAAGTTCTATCAGAGGTAGAAATTCAAGATCTTGAAGACTAGGGCCTTAGCTACATGCTTGCAACACACATTCAATATACAGGGAGTGCAGAATTATTAGGCAAGTTGTATTTTTGAGGAATAATTTTATTATTGAACAACAACCATGTTCTCAATGAACCCAAAAAACTCATTAATATCAAAGCTGAATGTTTTTGGAAGTAGTTTTTAGTTTTAGCTATTTTAGGGGGATATCTGTGTGTGCAGGTGACTATTACTGTGCATAATTATTAGGCAACTCAACAAAAAACAAATATATACCCATTTCAATTATTTATTTTTACCAGTGAAACCAATATAACATCTCCACATTCACAAATATACATTTCTGACATTCAAAAACAAGTCAGCGACCAATATAGCCACCTTTCTTTGCAAGGACACTCAAAAGCCTGCCATCCATGGATTCTGTCAGTGTTTTGATCTGTTCACCATCAACATTGCGTGCAGCAGCAACCACAGCCTCCCAGACACTGTTCAGAGAGGTGTACTGTTTTCCCTCCTTGTAAATCTCACATTTGATGATGGACCACAGGTTCTCAATGGGGTTAAGATCAGGTGAACAAGGTGGCCATGTCATTAGTTTTTCTTCTTTTATACCCTTTCTTGCCAGCCACGCTGTGGAGTACTTGGGCGCGTGTGATGGAGCATTGTCCTGCATGAAAATCATGTTTTTCTTGAAGGATGCAGACTTCTTCCTGGACCACTGCTTGAAGAAGGTGTCTTCCAGAAACTGGCAGTAGGACTGGGAGTTGAGCTTGACTCCATCCTCAACCCGAAAAGGCCCCACAAGCTCATTTTTGATGATACCAGCCCAAACCAGTACTCCACCTCCACCTTGCTGGCGTCTGAGTCGGACTGGAGCTCTCTGCCCTTTACCAATCCAGCCACGGGCCCATCCATCTGGCCCATCAAGACTCACTCTCATTTCATCAGTCCAAAAAACCTTAGAAAAACCAGTCTTGAGATATTTCTTGGCCCAGTCTTGACGTTTCAGCTTGTGTGTCTTGTTCAGTGGTGGTCGTCTTTCAGCCTTTCTTACCTTGGCCATGTCTCTGAGTATTGCACACCTTGTGCTTTTGGGCACTCCAGTGATGTTGCAGCTCTGAAATATGGCCAAACTGGTGGCAAGTGGCATCTTGGCAGCTGCACGCTTGACTTTTCTCAGTTCATGGGCAGTTATTTTGTGCCTTGGTTTTTCCACACGCTTCTTGCGACCCTGTTGACTATTTTGAACGAAACGCTTGATTGTTCGATGATCATGCTTCAGAAGCTTTGCAATTTTGAGACTGCTGCATCCCTCTGCAAGATATCTCACTATTTTTGACTTTTCAGAGCCTGTCAAGTCCTTCTTTTGACCCATTTTGCCAAAGGAAAGGACGTTGCCTAATAATTATGCACACCTGATATAGGGTGTTGATGTTATTAGACCACACCCCTTCTCATTACAGAGATGCACATCACCTAATATGCTTAATTGGTAGTAGGCTTTCGAGCCTATACAGCTTGGAGTAAGACAACATGCATGAAGAGGATGATGTGGACAAAATACTCATTTGCCTAATAATTCTGCACTCCCTGTATGTTTGGGCAGGCCAGGTCCATCAAGCATCGTCACTTTACACCTCATCTGCCCACATAAGTGCCAAATTCACCCAGTAGGACAATGGAGTGCCAAGATGGAGCACATTCCAGCACCTTATCCACCAGTCTAAGAAAAATTGTTATTAGGTGTAAACAGCAGTCAGGACCCACTAAACCGAGTAGAAAATAGTATACCCACACCTGCATGCTGCCTCTCACCAAGGGCAACTCCATAGTGAAAGAGTCGAGACCCTCTTCAGGATGCTAAAGACGGTCTCATTTCTGACTTTTCTGGTGGTTAAGAAGTTCAGGCTCCTTTCCTAACAGAGAAGCCACATCCTAAGTACCTACAGCCAGACTTTTCAAGTGGCGATCAGACCACCGGGGCCCTCACGCCTGACAGCCACCAAATCCACAGGACACCAAACTGTTACGAGAGACTGACAATCAGTTTCATCACTGTCAATCCACAATATCACTGCATCAAGAAGGAAGGAAATCTTACCCACCACGTTTACCTTAATAATGGTGCTGTAGGCTGTTAAGTTGAAGGCCACCGTGGAGCCCAGGGAAATACCAAGAATTCCAACTCTGTCTGGTATCACTTGAGGATGGTTCCTAATAATGTTAAATGCTGTCTAATAGGAGAGTGATACTGGAAATTAATGAGATATTAAAACAAGGTTTTAATATGTATAAATTTACATTGTTTTAAAAAGTGTTACATGTCTAAAACGATAACTCAATATGAAGAATATGAATGAAATTGGAGTTAATTGAAAAAGGATCCGTTATTTTTTGCCTCATTTTATTCTATTTACTTATCTTTTCTCCTTGTTACTATGTGAAGTGGTATATTGCTGATTGTAAATTTGTTGTTTGGTTTGCGTTAGAACCGGAGATAAATGTTAGTTTGTTCCTTGATTTTTGGTGCCCACTTGTAATATAAATTGGATTGCAGATAGGGGGCAGGGTTTAAAAAGAATATTTTCTTCTTCCTGCTCCTTTTCAGGCATAGTTGCAGTGCTATACCGAGAGAAAGTGTGGTTGGTTTGTCTGAAAGAACTCTGTGGAAACTGTTGAGCCAAGTGTGAAATAAATGAAATGTGTTAGATATTACGGCATTGAAGAAAAATTAGATTGAAAGATTTTTTTTTTATTATTATTTTTAATGATTTCACCCAGAGTTTAATTACTAATCATGTAAAACTGGAAGTGTAAGTAAAAAAAAAAAAAAAAAAAAAAAAAAAAAAAAGGAAAAGTATTATTTGTCCAAAAAGACAAAACAAAAAAACCCCATAAAACACATTAGTATGTAAATCGCACAAACCTCGAAGTACTTAAACTCTACATCTGCTGACAGGTGTTCAGACCTTAGGTAATCCAGCGAGAAAGAAACGTAACCACGAGATGCCAATAAGGCAGAGCGATACTCCAGCAGCCCTACACCGCCTCCCCACATGTCTAGCAGCGTAGGGAAGGGTCCAGGACCTGAGGGGAAAAAACAGAATCAAACACAGTATTTTAGTCAGTTTTTTCTACTTTTAGTTCTGTTTGTGTCACGGCTGGGGCAGCAGTCGTGTTGTGGAGTGAAAGGAGGACCCAAAATGCAGGCAGCCGACTGATGATATGAGTGAGGGTTTATTTACAGGTGACAGTGGCAGAAGAGACAACGAAGCATGAGAAAACAACTGAAGAAACCTAAACTGGGAGAACTAAATGACAAACCTGAGAGCATACAAAAGGGGTGTGGGGCAGAGAGCCGCAGAGACGGGAACGGAACACCATAGAACGCAGACGAGCCGACAATGAACACAGACCAACACCCACTAAATACACACAAACACAAACACACACACACACGGTAATCGGGTAATCACACACAGGAGGGAAGAACAGCTGAACCCAATACACATGAGGACCGGAGGAGACAAGCTGAACACAATGACAACAGACACAGACTTTCAGAACAAAACAGGAAATCTAGAACCCGAACCGGACACAAGGGGGGAGGACACAGAATAACTAGAACAGAGGAAAATAATCACTAAACACAAAACGCCCAGGACCATGACAGTTTGATGTCAGGAAAAGAGGATATTCCTCATGTAGTAATTTCGGGGTCAGAAGTGTCACCCATCCATCACACAAAATCCAGATTATTTAAAAAAAAAAAAAAAAGAAGAAAAAAAGAAGTAGTAAATGTTTTATTTCCGGTGTACCTGGTGGTATAAACAGGGTCCCCTGCACTCCTTGCTTATTAATATCAATTCTCTTGACACCAGGAGCCATGTACCATCTCTCTGCGAGTGCTGATGCCAGAGGGGTCCGGTCCCTGAAGTCCTCGTGTCCACTGTGGACTGAGATGTTGACCAGCATTGGTGTGCACACGTTTATCTTCCTTAACCTGACCAGTAATGATACGAGTTATTGAACAGAATAAACAAAGGGTAGTCCACCCACACACACACACACACACACACACACACACACACACACACACACACACACACACACACACACACACAAACACACTAGTCATGGTGTTAGTTAGTCATATGTCCTTCAATGCACAAAATTAAACAAATATCTATTACTCCTTTCTTTTCCCTGTACAGTGTTGCCAAGATGAGTATTGTAATTCCTTATTATGACATTACAGGCTGCTGTTTTTTTTTATGGAGACAGGATTTTTCTTAAACAAAGACTTTCACCGTTGGCTTTATGCAGCCTAATTATGTCTGTTGTTACCTCCCGAAAGGCGTACAAGTCAGTCCTTGTCATGCCGAAACTGGTATAATCGACATAAATATTGATGTGATAACTTAAGCTCCTTTACACGCCACGAGCTCGGCAAGATGACCACCGAATCCTTACCTGAGGCCTTCGCGGCTGCCTGGGACCGGCCGCATGCTCCACAGCAAGCCCATGGGCTCTTTTCCCGTATACGTGCCTCCAAAACTCAAATCCTCGGTAACTATAAGAAAATAAAAACCATTTTATTCCATTTGACTTGGTTTCATTTTTATTTCATATCTTTTTACATTACCAGTCCATCTGATTGTATCATAATTAACTCTTTCTAGTGTTTTCTTTTACTGTTTTTCATTTAGAGTTTTACTTACTTACTTTACTGATTAATACCACAGTAAAAAGTCTGTGAGCAGAGCTCACACTGACAATAATCAGTTACCATCTTAATTTCTTTCCCACCCTTTTTTAAATTAACAAAACAGGACAGCATATCTGTGCCAAGGACACAGAAGACTGACAAGAACAACACAACCTGGAAAAAAATCACTGTAACAGGAGGATATCAACATATGGGATATAAGAATGAGTGTGCTGTGTGAGTGGGTTTAACTATATTCTGCCAGTGATCAAATGGGACAAACTAAAATCTCAGAATTGCTTCCAAACCATATCACAGAAATAGGATCCGGAAGATGGCCTTTACCAAAAATCAAAAATAGCCCCCATATCCTGAGAAAGACCCTGTTTATTAGGTGGCCATCGGTAAATTAATTTTCAGTGTTGTATATAATGTAAACGAAGTCAGTAGTTTGATCATAGTCCTGCCCTTCCACCTCCTGGGATTCACGAATAGGACTTGATCAAGGTCACCCAGTGACACTTGTTAAGAGACTAGCAGGTGATACTCACCTTGAAGAGACACAGACACACACATACATCAATGTTGTGTGAAGGTACAATAAATGGATTTAAATATTCCCACAGCAATGAAAGCATCATAATTTCAGCAATTATTAATACAGCTACTACTACTACTACTAATAATAATAAACTTAGTATTTTAGTAGTACTCCCTAATTATGATACATGAGCATGATATTTTGAGTAATTGAAATCAAGCAATGTAACAAGTTAGTTTATTGATTATTAAGGTCCAGATGTGGTTCGGTTTTCAGTGGTTTTTATCTAAATCAAGGCAGACAGGGAAGGAATCTTCCAGGGTGCACAAGACTGTATTTGATGTTCTGTCATGGTGAATGTGCTGTGTGAAGGCAAGCAGGGAAGGACCCAAACGCATTACTCACAGACGCGGTAACTTGAACAAACAAACAAACCAAAAAAAACCCCCCACAGCTCTATTTGCTGGCAGGGGAAAAGCATACAAAACAAAACTATACTTGGAGATCTAAGATCAGGAGGAAGCACCGGGAGAGTAACACAGCAATGAGGGATGACACAACGCTGAACACTGGAGGATACTGTAGGAATGTTTAGCTGATTTAGAGTTTAGAAATGTGTTAACATAGAATCTAGAATTATTGTAGAGACACTGACACTGCCCTCAATGTAATAAAGGCCTGATTGTGTCATGAACTTAGAAGTAGATTTCTAGGAGACCCTCCCCCACTTGAACTGTGAGATTAAGACAAAAAGGAGTTAATGTTGAGTGGAAATTCCTCAGGCCATGCCTGGGTGGGAGTCTCAAAGTTTGTAACTAAATATCTTTGGTTTGGGAGGGAGATGGACTTTTATGGCCCTCAAGAAGGCACATACATAGAAATATACGCACATAGTGTTTTAACTGTCACGCACACACATCCACACGCACACTCACTCACGTGCACTCACACATACACACAAGTACGCGCATACACTCACTCACATGCACTCACATAGACATACGGGTACGCACACACACAGGCACTCACAGGCTTGTGCATACACACAGACACAGAGTTTGCAGCTTACCATGGGGTATGCAATTTATCATGGGGTCACTTCTACAAAACTGAGGGAAACGGACAAAGGGGTTGAGATCTGCAGAGGAGTTCCGGGGTCCTGTACATCTCCCTTCTAGAAGGTGTAATCAATAAGTGTAATCAATGAGTGTGGATTAATAAAAGTGTTGTAGATTGACTACTGAGTCCCCGGTGTTCTTTCTGGAGGCCTGAGGAATCTACGAACCGGGTAAAACTGTATTAAGGTAACAATACACACTATAAATACACAGACAAGAACATGAGGGAATGAGAAACAGGTGGGAACACAGCCGGGAGAAATAAGACCTAACGAGACAGAAGAAGCGAAACGAGTAGCATTGCCATAAGACATGGACCTTCAAAATAAAACAGAGAACAAGAAACAATTTACAAAGATGCAGACTAGACACTGAACCTTACCTGCACTAAACACGAGGGCACAATAACAAAACCTAAGAAGTAGGAATACAACCCGTAATGCTAAATCAAACCAAAACATAAGAACTCAAAATGCTGAGTCACAATGAGACAGAACTGTGACATGTTCTTTAAACAGCAGACAATTCAAAGAATCTAAGTCACCTATTGATCATTAATGTAAACAGACAATGAGTTACACATAAATTCAGAAAGCACACTCCAAATTCAACAGTGCCTTTTTTGTATTAAAGAAAATCTAATAAAGCAGTTTTAGTGAAGTCATCAGCATCAACCAAGAAACACAAACTGCCAAAACCCCAAACTAAAACATCAGGTAAGCGTTTTAAAGCTTACTGAGGTAAAAAGAGTGAGAATCTCTTTAACCCTTGTATGGTGTTCGGGTCTGTGAGACCCGTGTTCAGTTTTTTTCAAAAGAAAAATTAAACAATTAATTATTTTTTCACGTGTAAATGTGTTGTGTCTTTCCACTCACTCCACTTGATTATAACTGATTTATTTATAACATTTTATATAAAAGAAAAACGAGAAGCACATTAATTCATAAATGTGATCTAACAAAGGTAAAGGGAAAAAATTAACCATGTTTGCTGTTCATATGTCTTGTAATTGGGATGAAGTAAACATCTGTTGAGTAATTTAACATAAAATTGTTTGATAGTGTTAATTTGGAAAGCCAAAACTCTAGCGGGTCCACCAGACCCATGAACACTGGCTGAGTAACAAAAATACGAACACCACACAAGGGTTAAGCATGATGAGCAGGACAGGAAGTTGCTCACATAGGGAGTCGAGTTCACATTCCAATAAAAACTGTCCAACACAAACATTTTTAGCTTGTTCACCCTCCAAAGACCAGCTCTGAGACAGCATCCTAAGTCAGTGGTGACCCACCTGATACGACGCCTCTGTGGTCGCTGACGTAGTGACCATATGCCTCCCAGTCGTCCTTGTCCTCAGAGTGGTGGAGGGAGTGGAGGGTTACCGGACATCCTGGAGGAAGATTCTCCACCAACACTTGAAATTTCTCATCAACCAAAGCCCGACTCGGGGTGATGGAGAGGATCGGAGGAACCGCCTGTGTCATGGCTGAGAGCAGTCTGTGGAGAGAAACCGTGACAGGTGAGTAACAGTGACAGGTCGGTCCGTCAGTGACGTTCAGGTCTAAGCTGAATTAAAAGCACAGATTTAGATGCAAACACACAGACAAAAAAGCCGTTTTATTTGGTTTTTAATCAGATGTTAATTTTATTTCTAGTTGTTTTGCATCAACTCACAATAAAGGCGTGTGTGTGTGTGTGTGTGTTATGAACAAAGTTAACTTTCTGGGATTTCTTAACATGGATAATAAGGCATGTATCGAGCCATTACACCTTGTTGTTTTGGATTATTTTAGCTTTCGTTTATAAATCATATGGCACACATTAGCAACCTTTGCTGTCATTTATACATGTATTTAAGTATTTGTGTATGTAGTAACTGTATCTCAAAAGAAGAAAGGACAACCCCTGCGTCTGTCCAGGAAAATGATTATGAATCTATAATGGTTAGTGCCATGTGAGGATGCAGCTGAAAGAAATATCTGGCTCAGGAGGCGGTCTACCACGTCAAATTGAGCTACCTGTAGCAGGCGAGTGTACACTCCTGTAGCAGTGGCCTGGTCACACTCCACATAATCCCTCTGATAAACCTCTCATTCGTATTATCTCAGTTCCTGGCAGGCAAAAATAAAAATGTCCAAACTTCAGCTGCAGCTGGTACTCAAGGTCAGCAGCCTGGCTCTGCCGCTGATGCAGTTACCCCCTTTAATAAACAGACATGAAACCACGCCTCCTTTCAGCAACTCTGATGATTTGTGATCTGGTGCTGTCTAAAAACCTCAGTGTCACTATCCTGCGTTTTTTTTGACCCAGCATTTTGAGTTTTAGTGTATTTTGATGTTTATGGTTTATGTTTAAGTCCATTAAGGTTTTCTAAGTCCATTTCTATTATGCCTAGGTTGCTGTTATAGTTCTTTGTTATTAGATTCCCCTTGTGTCTTCAACCCCTGTGTTAAGTCTTCCTCGCCCTTCATGTGTTTCATGTCTGCATGTCTTGTGTTGTCAAGTTCTTGTTGTCATGTCTGCGTCTCATTATGTTTCCTGTTTTATTTTGATGAGATCTTGTGTTTCTACGCTCAAATGTGTTTAGTTTTACTCTCCCCCTGTTCATTCATATCAGGTTTTTCCCCCATGTGTTTCCACTTCCGCTGATCACCTCATGTGTGCATTTAGTCTGTGTGTTTCCAGTCATTCGTCGTCAGGACGTCTGCCAAGTTCACGTCATGTTTCCAGTTTTTTTCCATGTATCCATGCCTGGTCCCATGTTCAAGGTTTCTTTGTTTTTCAGTCTTAGTTCACCCAGTTTAGGTTATTGTTTAGTTTGTCTTCTTTTTTAAATAAACGGCTCGTTTGCCACACTCAAGTTTTGTTTTGTCTCTTCGTGTGTTGCTGTTGGGTCCACCTCCTCAGTCCACACAGTCAGCTTTGCAGCTAGACTGTGACACAGAGGTCTCAGCCCCTCTGTGTACATGTATTCAGGATTCAGCTCATTTGCAGAATTTTGAATTTGTGTTCATGTTTGTTTTTTATTAATTTGTAGCCAAAAAAGACACATTTTGTGGATATTTATGGGCTCAAATTGCGGTCATAAATATTTTGTACTTCAGATGCATATTTGTGAACTGTGTTTTGTGACCTTGTAAACCAAAATATCTGAAAAAGTTATGTTTGTGCATTTATAGATGAGAATTTGTGTGTGTGTGTGTGTGTGTGTGTGTGTGTGTGTGTGTGTGTGTGTGTGTGTGTGTGTGTGTAGAAAGATTTGTTTGTAAAAAGTATTTATACAAGTTACAATTTTTTTTTTGTTAAGGTCTGGTTACAGATACAAAGCAAAAAACTGTGTAAAACTCTGTGCTCAGGTTTCCTGGTTGTGTGTGGATTTCAACTTATGAGTACGAATTTTGACCTAATTGTGTGGATGCCCTCAAAGGCATCCACACAACTAGAAGTTAAGACATGAGGCTTGTGCCAATATATCTTCAGACACTCCTGATGCTCACAATTCAAGAATATATTTCTCACCTATTACCGTTCTGAGATGAGTTACACTTGTTTGAGGGTAGGAAATTTGTTCTTCGCTCAGATTTCATCAGATTTAAAACTCTGGAAATGAGGCACTTTTTTCTCTCATCATATCTTTTTGATGGATTTCCACAGAGCCCTAAAAATTTCCATGACTGTTTACCAAAGCCTGCTGTTTCTTACGGTGAAAGAATGATTTTGATGCTCCATAGAGATTTAGAGTTACAAAACATTGTTTGAGGGCATGTCAAGGCAGTTTTTGCTTCACCTCTACTTAGTTACAGTGTTTTACAAGTCATATATCTTTAACAATTTATATTTTATCTCTGAATTATGAAGACCTGAAGATTCCCCCCATCTCTTCTGAACAAAACGATGTCTAAATGTCCATTCTAGCCCCTACGGTTAGGAAATTATGGCCATTTGTTCGAGGGGAATCCTGAATGTCAGAAATACACTGAAGAAAACTCATACCTCTCTCTGTGTCTGTGTGTGTAAGGGCTGACTACAGCAGGTGCAGCTAATTCAACTGACCTACATATACCAAGCCCAGACTCTCAACAGCTCCTGTTCACTTTGCACTCTGTGTATGTGTGTCTGTGTATCAATATTTCTCCCATGTTAAAGTATTACTCCTCCATAATAGTATTTCTGCTAAATCAAAGTACTTCTACTACATTTTAGTACTTCTGCTCAATCATAGTATTTTTGCTAAATCATAGTATTTCCAGAAGAATTCTGGTAGCAGATCTAAGTGCTCGGACAGGAGTGTGTAACTTGAGAAGCTCATTGAGGTAGCTCGGTGCCAAGTTATTAATGGTTTTGTAGGTGAAAAGTAACATTTTAAATTGAATGCGGTATTTAATTGGAAGTCAGTGCAAGCCAGCGAGAACAGGAGTGATGGAAGAAAACTTCCTGCTACCTGTCAAAAGGCGTGCCGCCGCATTCTGGACAGTCTGCAATCTAACGAGAAGGGTGGAGGAAAGGCCAATGTAAAGAGAGTTGCAGTAGTCCAACCTGGAAGTCACGAATGCGTGAATGAGTTTTTCCAAGTCAGTGTGCGGAATATAGCGCTTAGCCTTAGAAATGAGGCGCAGCTGATTAAAACTAGACCTCACAACAGCAGACACTTGCTTGTCAAATTTAAGCGAGCTATCCAGTAGTATGCCCAAATTACTGGCATAATCAGAAGGAGAGCTAGCAAAAGGCATCAGAGCAGCGCACAGTTGGTCGCAGGGGATTTTACTATCAAACACCACGATCTCCGTTTTCTTTTCGTTCAGGACAAGAGAATTACTCTTGAACCAACCTTTAACCTCACGCATGCATTCATGAAAATAGTGAAAAGACATAGCAAGATCGTCAGTAATCTCAAAATAAATCTGTATATCATCAGCATAGCAATGAAAGGCAATATTATACTTCTCAAAAATTGCTCCAAGAGGGAGCAGATATAGCTAAAAGAGAATAGGGCCTAATACAGATCCTTGAGGCACACCACAGCGTACAGGTACCGAGGAAGATGAGAAGTTGCCCAAATTAACCGAAAAAGACCTGTCAGCAAGATAGGATTTAAACCAGTTGAGGGCAGTGCCTCTTATACCCACAGTATGCTCAAGTCTTAGTAGAAGAATGTTATGATCAACCATATATAAAGCAGAGGAAAGGTCCAATAAAACCAGGACCACAGAGCGTCCAGAGTCAGTGCTTACAAATAGGTCATTGAGAACTCTAAGCAAGGCCGTTTCAGTGCTGTGCCGTGGCTTAAAGGCAGACTGAAATTTCTCTGCAATGTTGTTCGCGTCTAAGTATGCCTGAAGCTGAGAAAGAACTAGTCGCTCCAGGATCTTGGACAGAAACGGAAGCTTAGAGATTGGTCGATAGTTCAAAAGATCATAACAATCAAGATTCTTCTTTTTCAGAATAGGCTGGACTACAGCATGCTTAAAGGCCAGTGGGACAGATCCAGAGAGTAGAGAAAAATTCATTAAGAACAGAATGCTCGGTCCAATTACATCAAAGCAGCCCTTAACAATGCGTGATGGGAGAATATCAAACACAGCATTGGTGTTTTTTAGTTGATCAACCAGCTGCTTCAGAGTCGAAAGCGACACGGGCTCAAATTGATGAAAAGTTGAATTACACTCAGAGGAAAAGACAGGATAAGATGTAGACGAAGAGGAAAGCTTAAGGGATGAAACCTTATCTAAAAAAAAGAATTTGAAAATGCTCACAAAGAGCTTGTGAATACAGTAAAGGCATATCAGGACCGGGATTAACAACAGAATTAAAAATTTTAAATAGCATACGGGGGTTGTGACAATTAGCCAAAATGACTTTGGAAAGAAAAGATGCCTTAGCCATTCTAGCAGCAGTTTGAAACTGTGAGCAGCTGGTCCGTAACATATCATAAGAAACCTGAAGTTTATCTTTTTTCCACCTCCTCTCATCACGGCGACAGACACGTCGTAAGGCACGTGTAGTATCGTTTAGCCAGCAATGAGAGTAGGGTCTAGGGCGCTTCATTTTGATGGGAGCAACAGAATCAAGAATAAAAGAACAAACAGATAACAGGATATTAGCACAACCATCAACCGAACAGAGAGAACAGTCGTCAGATACAGTCAAATCAGAGGTAGATGAAAATAATGATAGCAAAATATCAGCATAACCATCAGATGAGCGAACTGAGCAGCAGTCAGGAATTATAGGCGCCAAATCTAAAAAAGACACAGCAAACTTTGACAAAGCTTCAGAGCTGAGTACGCGTTTATTTACCTCTTTTCAGCACATAGTTTTACTTCTTCTGCTCTTTTCAGCAGATTCCACTACAAGGCATCCACAGCATTTTCGCAGGAAATGCAAATTTTTCTAGTTTTTATTCCTTTCAGCTGATTGACCAATGTCATGTCAATCACAAATTTAACCGTCCAATCAGAGAACAGATGGGTTTGACTGTCGGAGGGGTGATTTTTCTGTCACACTTCACAGATTGTGTTGATTGCTGCACATCAACAGCTAAGCTGTGTGTCTCTGTGTTAATTTTGTTTCTCTTTATGGTATGTATTTGGCACTTTACTTTTGTTGCACTCTGGTACTATGGCCGCGGCGCGGCAGTAGCACGCAGCGGCCACTCCGGAGCCAAAGTGGTGCTGCATTGTTTATTGTTTACGTTTTTGTGTGTAGCGTGTTTATTTTGCACTATGTATGGATATCGTCGCAATTGGTGTCGGTGTCCGTGCATACAACAGCCAGACACTTTTCAACCTAAATAACCCGGTTGACGACATCCAGGATGGGCTGCGGGAAACGCTGCGTGAACTCTGCTTGCTCCGCGAACCAGGCCTCGAAGCCTCGGCGTTGCCTGATGTCGGTGGCCGGAGGTGGGGACATCGGAAGCGTTGCGCGAGGAAGCGGAAGCGCGGCAAGCGGGCGGGAGTCTGTGATAGGCTAAAAACAAACCCTAGCCGGTGTTCCAGATCTACTGGCGTTTAGATCAACTGGCGTTGGTCGAACAGATGTGTGGCAGTCTTGCGTTTCAGGAGCTGCTACCGACAAACCAGCAAAAAAACGCCAAATGTGGCATCTGTGACACTTGTGAGGTTATGTTTAAAAATGTTGCGAGTTTACCTGGTGATATCCTCATGCGCGACGCGATCGCGAAAACAGCACACAATTAACACCACGCCGATGTTGTTCACAGGACAGCAAGAGTAAACGATCGGGAGACTCTTGTCGTCGTTATCGTTCCCCTCGCACGGTTTATTTCTCCGAATTCAGCGTTTTTGCTTCACAACTACAGCGAGCAGTTTACTTTGTGCACTAACATGGACTCGAGTCAACCAGCGCCACCTCTGGCCAAGTGCCACAGCCTACAGCCAGATCAACCTGTGACACACATCTGCACCACGTTTGAATTCGTGTCATGCACATTTGTACCTTTCAATTGTGTCTGTTTGTGCGTCATGCAAATAAACCTTTGAAAAGAATGAAATGACACTAATATTTCACTAGTGTTGTAACATCACATGTTGTTAGTGTAGTCTGCCTGTGTCTTTTCTCTGCGAACAAACATTGTAGAGTTGGTTGTTATATACAGTATGGTTACTCCTAATGATCATTTGTAAGGAGATGGCAGTTACTGTGAATGTACAGCGGGTGATTAGTAATAAACAGTCAGACAATGACTCTGAAAATCTCATTCAGTCTTGCAGATTGAATGCACCTTCTGTGGAAAGTGGTACCACACAGTGTGTGTGGACTTCCCCTGTGCAGAAGGCGACTACAAATGTTGTGGGTGCTACATAAACAGAAACAAATGATCCCTGTTGTCTTTGCTTACTGATTGTTTTCAGTGTTGACAATCCACATTGCCGGGATTGTATCTGTCAACATGTTTGTGGGTAGATCTGGATGTACCAGGGGTTAGTGCAGCCACTCAGCCTCTACTCAATGTGATCATAGCAGCAGGTGCAGATGTGTCACAAATTAATCTAGTAGTAGGCTATGGTACTTGGCCACAGGTGGCAGCAGTGGACTCCATTGGAGACTGCTCCAGCTGCTGTGTGATAGTGGATCTGCTACAAATTGAAGATCATAAGCAAGTTTTGGAAATTAACCCTTGTATTAAGTTGAAGAACAAACAATTGACATTGATTTTGTTGCAGGTCATTTTGACCCGTACTGTGTAAATCCACTCAGAATTATCCAAAAACTGCAATAAAACAATAGCAACTTTATTTTCCATTAGATAAACATGTAGAACACAGACATACAACAGTTAGACTTTCCATAACTATTTTAGGAACAATTTGGTTTTTCGTTCTTACAAACACATTTCTTTTGAACTTGCCCAACGTTCTCAGTTTCTCAATGCTCAACATTTTCTATTTTGTCCACATGATGGACAGAATGTAACTGTGTGCTTTCTGCAGATGTACTTCTTGCATTTCTCACAAAAAGTGCTTGTTTTCAAACAGGAACCTTCCTAACTAAGATTTAAAACAAAGGATTTCTACGTCTCCTCCAGTCTCACAAACAGATGACAAACCAAGCGACACACCTGAGTCACTGACTTTCTTAAATCCACTCACTCTCACTGGCTGTTTATTACTAATGACCTGCGGTAGCGCTCTTTCCTAAACTGTGGGTGTAAAAGTCTATTGCGGAATGAGCTGCTCAGTACTCATACAGTGTCATGCAGGGGGTGGATGGTGTTGTCCATGATGGATGTTAGCTTAGATAACATGCTCTCCTCCCCAACCCGCTCAATGGACTTCAGCGGACAGTCCAGGACAGACTTAGCCCTCTTGACCAGTTTATTAAGTTTCCCCCTGTCCCTCTCTGCCATTCCAACACTCCAGCAGACCACAGCAGAAAAAATAAGAGATGCCACCACAGTGTCGTGAAACGTCCTTAGAAGAGTCCTGGATCTCAGCCGCCGTAGCAGGTGGAGACAACTTAGACCCTTACATCAAGAACATCTCTTTAAACAATGAAGCTTTAGTACTGCCTATAGGACACAATGCTGTTTGTGTCTCTTACAACACATAAAAACTGTAAAATAACTGTCCTATAAAATAGTAATTGTTTTTACTACACTGTAAAATGTAATATTGTGTTTAATTAAAAATATTAAATAGGCTGAACTCAATTTTTATCAATTTGTTATTAGAACTCGATTTAAATAAGTTACCAGTACTTTTTATGCAAAAATGCTGATAAACTCAATTTATTTGAGTTGTCTTAACTTAGAAAAACTAAGTAAGCTGGAAGTTTACTTTTAAGATATTTTCAGGCAAGAATGTAGCTGTGTAAAGTTCAAATATCTCCTCGATTTATCAAGACATCACATATTTGCAAAAATGCTCCGACGTTTTCAGAGACGTCCATTTTTTTCATGCTTTGTGGCAGCTTTTGAACATCTGTGGCATCTATTAATGCCAAATCTAGCCTTTATTTAACAACATAAGCAAACTCTATGTTACAATAATTGCACAGCCATTAAGGATCAAATCGGTTTCTGAAAAATGTTCTGTTTTTTCTCCCTCTGCTTGCTTCTTACTGTCTTTGAGGCTCGGGACCAGCACTCCTGTTGTTGGACAGAAAGACATCAACTCAGTGGTAAGTATTTTTGTTTTCCAATATATTAGCAACTGTCAGTGACATTTATATTAATCAGGCTGGACTTTAATCATACTTTAGATCAGCCTGTTTTACTTATTGTTTTATTTGTGCTTTGGTTTGGGGAAGTTGTTTCTTTACTGATCTTTTCCTGTCTTCTGTTATTAGACTTGAGATATGACTGCACTAGGCTGTTGCTGGTGACTCCAGTTAATTCTACAAGACATGCTGTGTAAGTAAACAAACAACAACAGTTTGGTCTGCATTTCTTGAAAGATCACATCCCCCAAACTTAGTTTAGAGGGTCAATCATTTTGCACATCATTAGAATGAAAGTTATTGGCCATGTTTGCATAGCCCTTTTTAAAATGATGCTTTCATGACATTATTGTTTGTTGGGTGGTGGTCACGGCTATCCAGACTGACAATTGGGACATTGAATGTCACCTCGCCGGTGGGGAGGGAGCCTGAGATTGTGTAAATTGGAGTCTGTTTTATACCAAATGCAGAAAAAAATGTTTTAAGAAAGCAATTAAGTTCATGTTCCAAAAAATATGATGGCTTGCTTGCAGGACAACAGGAGAGATGAGACCTCCGTCACAGATGGTGTGGTCACCATCTGTGACCTGTGCTGCAGGTTCAAGCTCATTGCATCTCCAACCCACATCCACTGCCACTGTACTTAAGGGAAGTTAAAGACTTTCTTCTGCACCTACATTTGGATCACCTCGATCCATGACAGTCATTCAGGCAGTAATGCCTGAACTGGAAACAAGCCATCCTTAAAATATTACAACATTCCAGCTCATGTGTTGGAATGAAAAACAAATGTGTTGTTTAAATCAGAGACTGCACTTGTGACAGAACAACAAATATTTTATTTTGATTATATAAGTAATGTAAGCACAAAACAAACTTGTGGTAGGCCTAAACTTATTTTCAGAATAATTACACCTGAGACTTTGTTCATTGTAAGATTATAACAGTGATGGCAATATAATTGTTTGTTGTTCAGCAGAACAGTGTCCAGTATGTTGGCTGTTATACTTTGTTGTGCTTGAAAATAAAAGTTGGGCTGATTTTAACATCATTACAAAAAGTTTTGTTAATTATTTTTAATCATATTCAGGTTACCACAAATTGTTTTTTCATTTAGTTGAACTTGAAATGTTTGTCAGTAGGTAAACAATTAGTATTGTACAGCCAGAAATATCAAGTTATTCTTAATACTGCAGACTTGCAATGTGTAAGTTGTTCTAACAGTCATCTTAAGTAAGCTTTACTTAGTTTTTTTGAGGCAACGAATTTCCTTAATTTTTTTGAGTTCTGGGAACTAACAAGGCTGTACAGTGTACTCAAAATGAGTAAGTTGCCCTAACTTGGTCATCTTACGTAACCTTGATCCAATTTTCTTGAGTTCTGGGAACAAATGAGCTTGTACAGAGTACTCAAATAAGTTGTCCTAATTTAGTCATTTTTAGCTAAGCTTTACTCAATTTTTTTGAGGCAACGAGTTTCCTCAATTTTTTTGAGTTCTGGGAACTAATTAGACACTCGAAAGAGTGACCTTTATCCTTAAGATGCAGATGGACTGCTGAGTCTTGTCCTGTGGAGGTGGCTCTTCTATGTTGTGCCATGCGCTTGTGAACCAGTTTTTGTCTGAGCGTGTTGCAGCGACGAATGCCCAGACCTCTACATTGGAGAGACCAAACAGCCACTTCACAAGCGCATGGCACAACATAGAAGAGCCACCTCCACAGGACAAGACTCAGCAGTCCATCTGCATCTTAAGGATAAAGGACACTCTTTCTAGGATGCCAATGTTCACATTTTGGACAGAGAGGACAGATGGTTTGAAAGAGGAGTGAAAGAAGCCATCTATGTCCACTGTGAGCGACCATCTTTGAACAGAGGCGGGGGTTTACGACACCAACTCTCTTCCATCTATAATCCAGTTTTGAGATCCCTTCCCAGACGCCTTAACTCACATCCTGGGCCATCTGATCTCAGGAATTCGCATGATAAGGTGAGGCCAGGTTTCACAATGAACTCACCCGAAACTCTGGCTGATTGGGACCCACACCCAGTTTCACACCTTGACTCAGGCGATTAGAGGATCATCAGGGGGTCCTTTTGTCCCTCTGTGGGGGGAAACTCCCACTAGGTTTATATCTGGAACTCTCCACCATTTGACCTTAGAACTGAAGAAGCTTCTCAGATGAGAGGTGAAACGTCTTCAAGTAACTTAAAGAAGTCCAGACGCTTTTCTTTGCAAGCTCCTTTGACTACGATGACCTGGATGACTGAGAACCTTCACAGACATATACAATAGGATAAAAATAGAATACAAATGCTATATACAACTGAGTAAAAATACAACTTTGTCAAAAAAGAGTATTGCACTTAGTCTTATTGCACATGTGTGGGTTTGTGTGTGTTTGATCAGCAGCAAAAGTCTTTGTTGTGGAGTCTGACAGCAGTGGGGAGGAAAGACCTGCAAAATCTCTCCGTCCCACACCGTGGGTGCAGCAGCCTGCCACTGAAGGAGCTCCTCAGTACTGTCAGAGTCTCCAGCATGGGGTGGGAGAGGTTGTCCAACAGGAATGACAGCTTAGCCACCATTCTCCTGTCACTCACCACCTCCACTGGGTCCAGAGCGCATCCTAGAACAGAGCTGGCCCTGCAGATCAGCCAGTTCAGTCTCTTCCTATCCCAGCAGAGATGTTGCCACCCCAGCAGACCACACCATAAAAGATGGCTGAGGCCACCACAGAGTCATAGAAGGTCTTCAGGAGTGGGCTCTTCACTCCAAAAGACCTGAGTCTCCGCAGCAGGTACAGCCTGCTCTGCCCTTACCTGTAGAGGGCGTCTGAATTATGAGTCCAGTCCAGTTTGTTGTTCAGATGAACACCAAGGTACCTGTAGCTGTCCACAGCCTCAATGTCCATACCTTAAAAGCCTAGATAAAAGCCTCTTATTCCCGTCATAGGGGGACACAAATATAACCCTGTCCTGATTAAAGAATGGTCATTGCGCATGGAGAGTGCCCGCATGAGATATAAATTGAACATTAACTGCAGTTCTCAATCATTTCACAGGGTGACATTACAACATAAAGAAACAGTGATAAGCAGACACTTTGCAAGGGTTGACAGCCAACTAAGCTGCCTCTGCACTGTATACATGGTTGTAAATGCTGTTCTGTAAATGTCCTAAGCAGACATGATCTGTAGTTTAATTCTGGCTGCAGAATATCCGTGAATAAAAAGATGAAATAAAATACAGATTGAGTAGGTGCGTGACTGTGAAACAGAAGGGGTGGAGGACTCTCTGTGTGTACAAGGACAGAACAGTTCAAATACACTAATGATCCAGAGGGACACACAGGGGTGATGCTGGACTCTACATCATGTCTGACAGTGGAGTTGTTCACAGAGCAGTTCACTCTGCAGCACTGAAAATCATCTGCACATCATCCCATTCATCTGTCAGACACTGAAGAATGAGTCCTTCCACTATAACAGAATTGATATGTGAATCAAGTGTTTCCATAGGGACTCTTCATCAGCCGTCAGTCAGTAAGACAGCACATCCAGTGCAGAAAGCAGGAGAGGAGTCGGGGAGGAGCTGTGTAGTGTAGCCAGCTTCCTTTTCAGCTCTGAATGTTAAAAGGAAGTTCAGTCATGTTGGACTGAACTTAGTAAGCTAAATGCTCACACTTGCAGAGATTTTTAGCATCAAATCTGCAGATGTCATTCAAGTCCACAGTGGAAATAAATCACGAGACTCCTGAAACACTTTAGTGATGGATTATCTATGTTCACCTGAAAGAAACAGCTTCTGTGAGGTGATGACTCCTCTGTCAGTCACTTCTGGATGAAGCTCTGCTCTCCACTCAACCTCCCAGTAACATGGCCCAGTCAGAGCAATGCTACTTCAACATCATCAAGACACAGCTTATCCTCTCTTGGCACACACGCTGTCTTGTTTACCAAAATGACTTCACTCTGCAGAAAAAAACAACATATTTTCTAACTGATTGTTTACAGATATTGACAGTCATCACCATCTCCTGTCTGTCAGTAATGCAGAATGTCCAATATGAAGCAGGGACCTGATTAATGTTCAGAGCAAGAGTGGACCATTTCCTGTTGTTCCACTAAAACAGAGTCTTCATGTGTTCATAATAGGGCTGTCAACATTAATGCGGATTAATCCGTCATCACGATTAACGTGATTAAAATATTTAACACAATTAACCCATCTGGAATAACTCAAAATCCCTGAAATGTCTCTGTCAATGCATTTCGGGCAGTTTCTCCAAAATTTGTCCATTCTGCACTCCAGATAGGTTAAACATGTTAAAATGTTAAGCTCATTAACCGTGATGATGCGTTAACGTTGACAGCCCTAGTTTATAAACATATCTGATTCTGAAATATCAGCTGACTAATAAACATGGATGCTGTTACTGAACTGAAAGCACTGACAAGACAGATGTATAAATATGTTTCCTGGAACTTGGCAGAACTTGTGCTCTCTATGAGTATTAAATGGTTACTAAATGCAATTTTGGTTCTCTGAAATAAGAGCCACTGATTTGCAGGCTTTAGTCAGAGTGATTCCAGAACTGTGACAGAGATGAAACTGACAAGTTGTATAGTGTTGAAAAAACAAGCAATGGCTTGGACATGTGCAGAGGATAGTGGATATATTGGAGGCTTCAGGTTTGCAGGAAACACTGGGTCTTTGCTTTCATAAAACTCTGTTTAGGAAAATATTACTGGAGCACCACTCCAACCTTCTACTGACCTCAGATCCTAAGATCCAGTCTACACTGTGGACTCTTCAGAAGCCCCAACAGCTGCTGCACATCTAAATTCTGCAACTTGTTGTAGCTCAGGTCAAGATGTTTCATATGAGAGGGGTTGGACTTGAGAGCAGAGACCAGAGCAGCACAGCTGATCACTGACAAACCGCAACGATACAATCTGAATAAAAAGTAAAACATATAAATAAAATCATTTATAATCTAATCAGATCTCCTGAGTCAACCTATAACCTGTATGCCCAGTTGTAAGTGGCTATTGTATAAGAATCCTCCCAAAACTCTGTAATTATTAAATTACCAAATGTATGGTGCATAGATGTGAAAACACTCTAAGTATGTTATCACTGCTGACGAAAAATTGAAGAGGGTGAGCAGAAGTCACATGCTTCTAATCAAATACGTTTGATTAACTGATTATCAGTTTGTGGTGTCATGAAGTACTGTGCTTCAAATTTTGGACCCAGTATATAGGACACAGGGGACACGGTTCAAATACATAGGCAGCTGTATTGCTGGAACTCAAAGGAACAAAATACCAAAATACAAAACTGGGGCAAGGCAAGAGCCGAGGAAATTCGAACACACAAGGCACACAGCATGAAGGAGGACACGACAATAAACTGAGGGAGACACGAGATAATGAGGGAGGATGAAATAGGTGGCAGGACAATTGGGATCAATCAGAAGACACTGGAAGTAAAACTGAATTTTAAAAAAGGGACAAAAAAAACTGTCAAAATAAAACAGGAAATAACTAACATGGAGACACAGACACAACCCTACAAACTTGACACAAGAACAGAAAGGTAAACAAGCATGGACCAGACCAGACCGACTTTACAAATGAGATACTAAGGACAAAACACAGAGACAAGACTAAGACAGAAAAGACACAAAAGGGAACAAACACCATAAAGCTAGCAAAAAAAATAAAAAAATAAAAATAAAAATGGTCAACTCAGCTTTTACAGGTCAGTGTGTGTGTGTGTGTGTGTGTGTGTGTGTGTGTGTGTGTGTGTGTGTGTGTGTGTGTGTGTGTGTGTGTGTGTGCTGATCAATCAGTGTTAATGGGGGATGTGTTTTAAGATGGCGCCTGTGTGTTTGGCATGCCGTCAACCGCTCCTTTTTATTTGTTTGATTGTATTGTTTTTAGCTAATGTTGTGCAACATGTCAGTTCAACACTGTCGTATGATCGCCAGACTTTATTGGAAAGCGGCTTATCCACCAAAGTTTCAGTTTGGTTTGGTAAAGATAGCCAGGGTTTTCTGCCTCCCTACCTGGAAGCAGTACCATTGCGCTGGCATCCCCTACCACTGCCACCAGATATGCGGAAATGACGCAGGAGACGGGGTACCCGTGGAGGTCGCCTCGTTAAGCTGAGAATCCAGATTTCTTAGCTTCCTCACGATCTACGCTCTGTTCGTCAATCTTTTCCACGACTCTTGGTACCATCGCGTACACTGGATCCTGTGGATTCCTGGTTGGTCTCCGTTGTCGGCTCTATCGGGAGCAGCCCTGTTAAATCATTCCCTCTTCGGCATCTGTGTTGGAGGGGAATGGACCGATCAAACCTTTGATTGGTGGATCTGGTTGTCACTGCCGCGGAGGTCTCCGAACCAGCTCCCCTCAGGTTGGGTTTAATAAATGCCAGATCGGTGGCGAATAAGACCTTCATCCTGAAGGATTTCTTTTCTTCCCATGCATTGGATTTCCTCTGTTTGACTGAAACCTGGAGTTCACCCGGTGAGTTAAGCATTTTTTCTGAACTGCTGCCCGCCAGCTGTGCTTATGTTAGCGCTCCGAGAGCTTCTGGTCATGGCGGGGGGTTAGCTGTTGTTTTTAAATCACACTTTGAGTTTAAGCAACTATCCTCATGGACACGCCACACCAGCTTTGAACTTTGCCTGTGTGAACTTGGCCACTCGCCTTCATTGCTGTGTGCAATAGTTTATCGGCCTCCTAAATATAACAAGGAGTTTTTATCTGAGTTTTCGGAGTTTCTCGCTGACTGTGCATCCCGGTATGACCAGGTCCTGCTACTCGGTGATTTTAATATACACGTCTGTTGCCCAGGGAAGCCCCTGGCTAAGGAATTCATGGACCTGGTGAATTCTTTTAATCTTGTTCAATCTGTTAAAGGTGCCACTCAAGAACGTGGTCACACATTGGATTTGGTGTTATCATATGGGTTATCTGTCTGTAACTTACATGTGGAGGATGCTGTATTCTCTGACCATATGCCCATTTTATTTGACGTTGTTCCTCTTAGTCCTGTTGTTAAACGGGTTGCACCTATGCAATGCTATCGTACCTTCGGCTCAGATACTGCTGAGGATTTTTCAACACTATTTGAACAACTTGTGTCCAGTCCCTCTCAGTCGTCCTCCGTAGATGGATTACTCTCTCATCTGGGCTCTGTTTGTAAATCTGCCCTTGATGTTGTTGCACCTCTAAGACTCAGGCAGTGTAAACCCAAGGCCAGCCCTTGGCTAACCGATTTTACTCGAGCCATTAGAAGAGAATGTAGGAGATGTGAAAGACGATGGAAAAAGGACAGGCTGTGCGTTTCTCTGGAAGCTCTTAAGACGAGTTGGAAAGCTTATCAGAGGGCAGTAAAGACCGCCAAAAACTCCTATTTTTCACAACTTATTGCTGTTAATTCACATAACCCTTGTGTTCTGTATAATACCATTAATTCTGTACTGAATGCAGAGGATCATGTTCTTTTGCAATCTTCAGAGGTTACGTGTAATAGGTTTCTTAATTTCTTTGTGGATAAGGTTGCCAGTTTGAGACCCTCCACTTTATCTTCTGTTGGCCCGGCTGTGCATGTTCCCTGTTTAAATTTGCTTATTGCTTTCCAACCGATTGTTCTACCTGAACTAGAGAAGCTTGTGTTAAGTGCTAAACCATGTGGTTCTCCGAATGATGTCGTTCCACCGCGTTTTCTGAAAGAGGTGTTTCCTACTGTTGGACCACATATTTTAAACATAATCAATACCAGCCTCTTGTCAGGTCAAGTACCAAGTGAGTTTAAGCATGCAGTTATTCATCCCTTACTTAAGAAGCCAGGCTCAGATATTTCAGTAATGTCAAATTTTAAACCCATCTCTAAACTTCCTTTTCTGAGTAAGATCTTGGAAAAGGTTGTTCACACTCAGCTGATGGATTATCCAAACAACTCTCATATGTTTGAAGTTTTTCAGTCCGGCTTTAGGACGTTTCATAGCACAGAGACAGCTCTCATAAAGGTTATGAACGATATTCTGGTAGCGACGGACTGTGGTAAACACGTAGTGCTTATACTACTAGATATGACTGCTGCATTTGACACAGTGGATCATGACCTGCTGATCTCTCGTTTACAGCATTGTGTGGGCATTTCTGGCTTTGCACTCCTGTGGATAAAATCATACCTCTCAAACAGGAGCTTCTGTGTTAAGTTGGGCTCGTCATCATCCTCTGTGGCCCCTCTACCATGGGGTGTACCACAGGGATCTATTCTTGGGCCATTACTGTTTTCATTGTATCTCCTGCCACTGGGTGCGATCTTTCGTAAACATAAAGTTTCATTTCATCTATATGCTGATGATTGCCAGCTTTATTTTCCTTTCAGTCATTCTGATAGCTCCCAAATTAGACTCCTGCTTGATTGCCTTAGTGATGTTAAGTCATGGATGGCTCAAAACTTTTTAAATTTTAACGAACGTAAAACGGAAGTAATTCTGTTTGGCCCGAATCGTTCCTCTGATATCCCTGATGTTGACCTTGCTGCTCTGACCCCTCACCTGAAGAGCTCAATTACCAATCTTGGGTTAAAAATCGACTCTGCACTTACCCTTGATGGCCACATGAATGGGGTGGTGAAATCGTCATTCTATCAACTCAGGCGTCTGTCGAAGGTTAAACCTTTTCTTTCAAGGCGTGACTTGGAGACTGTTATCCACGCTTTTATAACCTCATGCTTGGATTATTGTAACTCCCTTTTAATAGGGGTTGGACCGGGCACTCTGACATGCCTGCAACTAGTACAGAATGCTGCGGCACAGTTTTTAACTGGTAAAAGGAAATTAGAGCACATTACTCCGGTTCTGGCCTCCCTGCACTGGCTTCCAATTGAATTTAGGATTCATTTTAAAGTTCTTTTATTGGTTTTTAAATCTTTAAATGGTCTGGCAATCTGTCTGATTTGCTGAAGCCCTATGTCCCCACTCGTTCGCTCCGGTCAGCTGAGCAGCTGTTGCTCTCAGTCCCCAAACCACGGTTGAAACTGAGAGGAGACCGAGCGTTCTCTATTGTGGCTCCTAAGCTTTGGAATAATCTTCCTCTTCACATTAGGCAATCGACATCAGTGATGGCTTTTAAATCCAGATTGAAAACACATTTTCATTCACTGGCTTTTGATTCAGTGGTTGACTGACTTGTATCTTATTGTTTTTGCTATGTTTATTATTTTATCGTATTTATTATTCTTATGGTATCTATTATGTTTCTGTTGTTCAGCACTTTGGTCAGCCTTGTGTGTTTTAAAAGTGCTATATAAATAAACGATGATGATGATGATGATGATGATGATGATGAAATTATCAGACACTACTGTGATGTTGCACTGAATTAAATAAAATAAATGCTAGCATTTCACCGGACATCCTCAAAATATATTAGAATACATTGTGAAAAGAAAATTTTTTCAGATCATATATTGGGAGCGAAAGGGTGAGTGAGAGAGAGGTAAGTAAACTGACCTCAGAGTCTCCAATCTGCAGTGTGGACTCTGAAGAAAATCACATAAGTGTTTCACTCCTGAATCTTGCAGCTTGTTGAGACTCAAGTCCAAATATTTCAGATGGGAGTGGTTGGACTTGAGAGCGGACACCAAAGCAGCACAGCTGACGTCTGACAAACTGCAATCCCATAAACTGAATAAAGAATTATTTATAATCCAATCAGATGTGTTTAAGTGTTAAATGTGCATCTCAACATTAGTACGTGCTGATGAACAAACCTATCTCTAAAACGAGTAGTGACTTGGTCTGTGTTGTTAGTTCTATCATTGTGTATAATTATCGTCATGTCAGACTTCTACACACATCATCTAAATGTCAGTATAGTATTCAATAACCTGTTCATATCAACACAGTTACTATGCCTCCACTGCAGCTCAGAAGCAAAACGCTGTGTAAACACTAGGGATGGGTACCGGTGTCCGGTGCCATGATGGCACCGGTTCTGACATAAACGGTAGCAACCAGACCGAAAAGCAGCGCACATTTTGGTGCTTTATTTCGGTGCTTTTTTTTCCTGAGCTGTGATACACTTCTAGCCAATCATTTTACGTTTCTGAGGATAGTAGGCGGGCCCAGGTACGTACGTTCTTTTAGAGCAGAGCTACAGATTAAAAATGTCCAAGGCGAAGCGGTCAAAAGTCTGGCTGTACAGCCTGCAACAAGTGCTTTAAGCTGATACTGTGATACTGTCAAAGGAGGTAACACCTCAAATCCGATGAAACACCTGGCGACGCATAGCGGTTTTTTTAAAAGCCCAGAAATGCGCCGTATTTGATAGCTTGCTGCGAGACCTCACACTGAGCACATCTACTGTGGGTGGGTTGCCTGTTATGCAACATCCCCCAAAAACACGAAGAGGAGAGTCCTGGCCCCTAGCCCTGCCAGTGTAGCAGAAATGATGACGGATGATGATGGCAGCAGCCGTTCTTCTCTGCATGAGTAGCTTAATGTTGTTCGTGTGTAATTTACGTTGAGTAGGCTAACCACGTTATTACATTAATGCATGTAAGGTGAACTAGCAAACATCATCATAGCTACATGCGGCTGTCCTCTTGTTTGATGGCAGATACTCCCTTCACCCTGGCCAAAAAGGCTAAAATGACCAAAGAAAAAGTGGAAAACAGTTAAACATGAGAGGTTTAGGACAAAGTTTGTGTTTTTTCCATTGTTTAAGCACTGCTTCCAACCAAGAGCGATACCATATATGCCCTATAGCTGCAGAAAAAGCTAACATTGTTATCTTTTTACAAAAAACAGCTGAAAATGAGAGGTTTATGGACCAATTTTGTGTTCTCCATTCTTTAAGCACCGGTTTGAGCACCGGCACCGTTTCAAAAGTACCGATTTGGCACCGGTATCGGATAAAACCTAAACGATACCCATCCCTAGTAAACACCAAGAAAAAAAACACACATGATGAGCCAATTTTGAAGGTATTTCACATCTGCTACAGGAACAAGTGGTCTTCAGCTGTCTCTTGTCATTTTTTGTGTGTGTATGTGTGTGTGTGTCCTGGAATTGCAAAACTCAATTCAATTATGCACCTATGCACCTACATCCACTAAAATTCAAGTCCTGGACACCCAAACCTCAAGGCTCATATAATTGGCATTAATTATGGAGCTCCTCCTGGTTCTGTGATGGGACCAAATGTATTTGCATTATGCATTCTTCCCTTAGGCAGTATTATTAGAAGGCATAGAATACATTTGCATTGCTATGTTGGGGTGATACTCAACTTTATCTGTCTATCTGTCAACAAAAACAGACAAACACACCAATTAATTAAACTGAAGAAATGTAAAGGTATAAGGACCTGGATCACCTCCAATTTACTGCTTCTAAATTAAGATAAAACTGTGGTTATTGTATGTGGGCCTAAAAATCATAGGAACATGTTTTCAAGTTTTTCATTCAGTGGGAATGAAACACATATTGTGATGACTCTATGGGTCTTCATATTTTAATGTAAAGCAGCTTGAGTTCACTATTGTTGTGATCTGGCACTATGTGAATAAAACAGAATTGAAATTAAATTGAATATTGACATTCAAATTATTACAATATGTTCAAAATAAAAAACAGTCTTGATGAACTGACCTTAGAGTCTCCAGCCTACAGTTTGCACTCTCTAGGCCAGTAAACAGCTGCTTCAAAGCTGAATCAGGGAGTTTGGCTCCACTCAGGTCCAGCCCTGTTAGATGGGAGGGACTGGACTTCAGAGCTGATGCGACAATTTCACAGTGACTTTCTGAGAGTTCACAGCTAGAAAGCCTGTGATGGAAAATATATCACCACACATGTTATAAAGTGGACAAATGAGTTTTCCTCCATTTGATGAGAAACACTTGAAAAATTTCCAGCTTCATCTACATAAGTGGAACATTTAGAGTCTGTTGTCCAAACAGTATAGAAATTAAACTAAAATTAAACTAACTGAACATCATCAGATTCAATATTAGCACAATTTAAAATTGCTGTAACTGAACCATTACTTAAAATCAGTTACTTATTCCGCTTGTGGTAGCTAACTATAATTTGAATTTGAAAGACAGAGATCCTCTCTACTTTTAAGACTAGCCTTTAAAATGTACTTTTTGTATTGCAAGGGCTGGATGAGGTGGCCCTGAACCATCACTTTGTTATTCTTCTATCATCTCATGCTGGGAATTTTCCATAATGAACTCTTTTGCAAGCGCCTGGGTATGAGATAGGCCACCATGAACTACTCAAAGATGCAAGTAGGTCAGACAATGTAAGACTGACAGTGGCAATGTGGCTATTCTAGCAGGCAGGAAATCAGACAGAATGACCATGAGAAGCTAGAAAAGTACTGTCAAAAGATCTTGTCAATTTCTGCAGGATGAGTCTTTCTCTCATGTAATCGGTACTTTAGAACATAGATTTGAGCACAAATTATTTTTTGATGATAACTATATCTGGTCTTACCGTGCCTTTCTGCAGTTTCTTATAGCTGGAATAAGTCTTCGTTGTCCCTCCTTTGATGTATTATACTTATTCAGGTCCAGGTCATCCAGAACCTCCTCTGACATCTGGAGCATGTAGGCCAGAGCTGAGCAATGGATGTCAGATAGTTCCTTCTCTGATCTGTTTTCTGATTTCAGGAACTCTTGGATCTCCTGATGTACTGAGAAGTCATTCATCTCCATCAAACAATGAAAGATGTTGATACTTCTATCAGGAGAGATTTTATCACTCTTCATCTTCTTCAGATTATTGATGACTCTCTGGATAATTTCTGGACTGTACTCCATCTTATTGAGCAGACCTCCTAAGAGTCTCTGGTTGTAGTCTAGTGACAGGCCATGAAGAAAGCGGACAAATAGATCCAGTTGGCCATTCTTACTTTGGAGAGATTTCTGCATGACAGTGGAAAGAAAGTCCTCTTGAAAATAGATGGGCATACCATCATCAAAATCATCAGTAAATAAATCTGGAAAATCATTCCTCAGAAACTTCTCCAGCACCTCTTCCTTCCTGTTGCTGTAACAGTGGAACATGTAGACAGCAGCCAGAAACTCCTGAATGCTCAGATGAACAAAGCAGTAGACTGGTTTCTTGAAGATCGCACACTCTCTTTTTAAGATCTCTGTACAAATGCCTGAGTACACTGAGGCCTCTGTGACATTCAGACCACACTGCTCCAGGTCTTCTTGGTAAAATAGGATGTTTCCTTTCTCCAGATGTTCAAAGGCCAGCCGCCCCAGCTTCAGGAGAACATCCCTGTCAGCCTGCATCAGCTCCTGTGGACTCGTCTCATGTCCCTCGTGGTATTTGTGCTTCTTTCTCTTTGTCTGAACGAGCAGGAAGTGTGAGTACATGTCAGTCAGGGTCTTGGGCAGCTCTCCTCTCTCCTCTGTAGTCAACATGTGCTCCAGAACCGTAGCAGTGATCCAGCAGAACACAGGGATTCTACACATGATGTGGAGGCTCCTGGATGTCTTCATGTGGGAGATGATTCTGCTGGACAGCTCTTCATCACTGAATCTGCTCGTGAAGTACTCCTCCTTCTGGGCGTCAGTGAAACCTCGTACTTCTGTTACCCTGTCAACACATATAGTAGGGATCTGACTGGATGCTGCAGGTCGGGAAGTTATCCAGACGAGAGCCAAGGGAAGCAGATTCCCCTCGATGAGGTTTGTCAGCAGCTCGCTGACTGATGACTTCTGTGTGACATTAGACACAAGCTTCCTGTTGGTGAAATCCAATGAAAGTCTGGTTTCATCCAGGCCGTCAAATATGAACAAAAGTTTACAGACAGCGAGCTTCTCTGCTGTAACCTTCTGTAATGCTGGATGGAAAACATGGAGCAGCTCTAGAAGACTGTACTGCTCATCTGTGATCACGTTCAGCTCCCTGAATGAAAGCAGAATCACCACACTGATGTCTTGGTTCTCCAAACCTTCTCCCCAGTCCAGAGTGAACTTCTGTACTGAGAAGTGTAGCCCAGCTAGAAAAAAAGAGCAGTGGAAAGTAGTTTTTTTTTCATGTATAATGTAAAGAATTTAGTCATTTCTTTTTTCTTTTATGTTTAAAGGAAGATGTGGACCAATAAGATTATCTGTTGTCATTTAACTTGGCCAATCAGCAATGAGCTCCCAGTGACCCTTGCTGTTGACCTTGATCACATGATTTCCTGTGTTGCCATTTCGTTCCTGTTCATATAATGCCATGTGCCAGAGAAACTAATGTTCCCGAAGTCGAATCGCTAGGAGTTAAAAGCAAGTCTGCTGCAGTTGTTTTTGGTTGTTCAGAGTTTCACCCTGTCAACGGTGAGTACGAAAAGTGGGGAAAACCTAATTTGTTAAGGATAAAAAGGGCAGACTTAACGGGACGGCGAGTCCGCTAGCCGCTAAGCTAACTGCTAGCGCTCACGCTAGCAGAATTTGACTGTGTTCTGTGTGTGAAATGGCTAGTGACTGCAATCATATTACGTTTAAGAAAAAAAAACAAAAGAAATGGTGCTAATCAGTTTTATGTTTAACAAGTTAATCCAATTGTACGCCGATTCTCAGATTTTCAGTTGTGTTCTTTGAGTTGGTTATAATGCACAAGTCTGGTGAGCTACTGTGAGTTGCTGACTGCAGCTACAGTGTTAACTATAGAAGCTGTGTTTTTTTTTTAGAACATTGTCAGCCGTCAGGTTGATAAAATTATAGCTCATCTAAGAGGATATGATGCTGCAGTGATATAATTTTGTTGTACAACAGAGCTAGCTGAATTAAGATATAGAGTTACACTAATACTTATTGTTCATTTTTGAATGTTTTAAGTAAGTGTGGCTGTTTCACAACAGTGAATGTGACTATATGGACCTGTGACCTGTTTATAGGTCAGGTTTTTTTGTTATCTGGTAAAAGGATGACTCGACAGACGGACCCAGTCTGAAGCAAGCCCCATCGAAGAGCAGTGATTCCACAGTTCCAGTTAACTGGATGGCGAGCCAACCCGAAATTGAAAAGGATTTGCCAAGGTTTTATTGAAGCCAAAGTTTCGTTCCCATTGAAGCTTCAGATACCTGCAGGACTACGAACTTTCTTCCTTCATCGGAGTGTGGTAGGACAAACATTAAACAAACTGAACGGGCCCCAACGATCCATCAGTTATCAGACATTATCCACTCATATAATTGACTCAGAGAAAGCTGTATGCGTGCACTTTTATTTAGTTTGTTATTTTGGGGGAAATATTTTGTATTTTATTTTATTGTTTTTTTCATTACATTGTTGCAGCTGCTGTGTGTCAAATATAACAAATTTGTGAACAGTATATTGTGGTGTGGTCTCTTCTTATTGGTGTTTATACCTTGGGCTCCTGCCGATCCTAGATCTTCTGATACTGGCTAGTGGGAGTTCGGTCATTCTTAATAATAATTCACAAGTTGGGTTACATAAGTGGCGAGCCAGCCAGGAGCCTAAGAATTTTTAAACATCAGTAATGAGAAATTGTGTCTGACATGGATTTTGTCCAGCGCTCAGGTGTAAAAATTCCCAATGCAGTTATTGTGAGTGGGATCACGAAATCAGAGAAAGATGAAGAAGTTTTAGAGTTTTTGAAAAAGTATGGTGGTGTTAAAACCCTTTTGCCAGTGGATGATGCTACCTCAGAGTTTCATCAAAACCTGATTGTTGAGTACTCAAGTGGCTCAGCTGTAGAAGCTTTAGAGCCTCTTATGCCATACAAGTATGTTGCAGAGGGTGAACCAAATGTCTCTTACTGTGTGAGGGCCTTGGCAAGCGTTTACACTGCTAAGGTGGGTGAAGGTGTCACGAAGTCATACTTGGCTGAATTAAAGGGCTTGGCTAAGCTCAGTGGCAAAACCTATGAGGAAGTATTGAAAGAGATGATATCACAAATCTGTGAGACAACTGAGAATACAGATGAGGCACCTTCTGTCTTACATGATAGCATTGTTGATGAGACACCAATACCACAGCCCCAGTTGCTTTCAGGTCCCTCAAGGGTAAGCAGTGACCAAGGTGTCTTAACTCCAGTTCCACCCTTGCGTGTACAGAAGCCTTCAATAGTGATTAGTGATGTAAATCCCCCTGAAGTTCAGAAGGTCGTTGTTGAGCATATTTTAAGGAAGGATGACATTGGATCACAGATCCATTCTTCAATGCGCATCCGTTCCTTCTCAGGGAAAACTCCCAGGCCTAACAATGAGACAGACTATGAGACTTGGCGCTCACACATTGAGCTGCTTTTAAGTGACCCCAGTATGACCCATCTGCAGGTGTCCAGGAAGATTTTAGAGAATTTGCTTCCACCTGCAGTTGATGTGGTGAAGTGCTTGAGTCCCAGCGCACCCCCAGTAGCCTATCTGCAGTTGCTCGATTCAGCCTTCGGCGCTGTAGAGGATGGTGAGGAGCTTTTTGCTCAGTTCATGAATACCCTTCAGGACCCAGGCGAGAAACCATCAGCTTTCCTCCATCGTTTACAGCTAGCACTAAATTTAGCAGTAAAAAGGGGGGTATTCCACCTGATGATGTAGACAAACATCTCCTCAAGCAGTTTTGTAGGGGGTGTTGGGATAGTGGATTGCTCTCCAGTCTGCAACTTGAACACAAGAAAAACTGTCCACCGTCATTTTCAGAGCTCTTGCTAATGTTGCGTACCGAAGAAGATAGACAAGCTGCAAAGGTTGATAGGATGAAAAAGCACATTGGTTCATCTAAACGAGTATCTGTCCATGCTCAGAGTTCCTGTGTTTGTGCAGGCGTAAGAGAAAGCCCACAGTGTGGTCCGAAAGCTATTGAGGAACTTCAAAAGCAGATAGCTAGCTTGCAGAGTCAGCTAGCCTCATTTGCATCACAGGAAAAGCTAAGTGAGCGTGCCAACAAGAAACCGGTTAAAAAGACAACCTGTAAATCGAAAATGGACAACACACATCAAGAAGTGCATCGATTAGCCGGAGTAAAACAGACAGGCAGGCCCAGGCCTTGGTATTGTTTTCACTGTGGGGAAGATGGGCATATTGCCACTTCTTGTACAAACCCTGCAAATTCTGCACTAGTTATTGAAAAGAAGAAGCAGTTGGAGAGGAGGCAGCACGCGTGGGAAAGTCAAAGTTGTCCCAGCGACTCCAGTTCACCTTTAAACTAGATCCAGTCTCTGTTGTGGGACAGACAGAGGCTGAAGAACATGCGCAGCGTCCCACAGACGTAAAGATTGTCAGCAAAGCAGGCAAGTGTGTGGATCTAGAGCACTCCAGTAGTGAAAAGCAATCCTTCAGGCTTCCAAAGGGTCTGATTGGTACCAGGAGCACTGCTGAAGTGATAATTGAAGGTAAAACATTTAGTTGTCTGCTAGATACCGGCTCGCAAGTGACTACTATCCCCAATCCTTTTATGAACAACACATGTCAGTGCAGGACATCAAGCCTCTCTATGACCTCTTGGAGGTTGAAGGGGCGAATGGACAGGCTGTACCTTATTTGGGCTACATTGAAACTACTGTCACTTTTCCAAAAGAATTTCTTGGTATGTCTATTGAGGTGCCCACATTAGCTCTCATAGTTCCTGACGTTCGAGCTACCTCAGGGTCCTACTTACTCATAGGGACAAATACACTTGATGTGTTGTATGACATTTATTGCAAAGCTAATCCAGGAGATCCCAAGACATTTCCTCACGGCTACAAAGCGGTCATTAAGGTGCTTGAACTCAGACACAATCAGTCTAACGTCAGTCACCATGGTGTTGTAAAACTGAAGGGCAGAATCTCTCAGGTTGTCCCAGCAGGGCCACAGTGGTTTTGGAGGGTGTCTCTACTGCCAGCGGTCTTCAGCATGAACAATCAGTTGTTGTTGAGCAGCCTTCCAGTTCCTCTCTACCTGGTGGTCTGCTAGTGAACACTTGTCTGGTTGACCTGTCCAAACAACGACCCTTTAGGCTTCCAGTTGTGATTACCAACCAATCTGAACATGACATTGTCATTCCTGCTAAATGTCAAATTGCTGACATTAGCACTTACCAATGTATTTTGTCAAGGAGCAGAGTGTGGTTAACTTGCAAAAGGCAGATCTCACTCAAGAGGCCAATTGTAACTTCAACTTTGGAGAGTCCCCAATCCCTCCCGAGTGGAAGGGTCGTATCACACGACTCCTTAACAACATGCCAGATGTATTTGCGCAACATGACTTGGACTTTGGAAGAACCGACAAGGTGACTCACCACATCAAGCTCTCAGACGAGGCTCCTTTCAAACACCGTGCTCGTCCGCTACACCCTCAAGACATTGAGGCTGTCCGTAGGCACATTCAAGAGCTTCTTGATACAGGTGTAATCAGAGAGTCCGAGTCTCCCTTCTCTTCGCCCATTGTGGTAGTCCGTAAAAAGAATGGCCAGGTCCGGTTGTGCATAGACTACAGAAAACTCAACCTTCAGACAATAAAGGATGCTTACACGCTTCCTAAGCTTGAAGACACCTTCGCGGCTCTCTCTGGTTCCCAGTGGTTTTCTGTGCTTGACCTAAAGTCTGGATATTATCAAATCGAGGTAGATGAAGTGGATAAACCCAAGACGGCCTTTGTCTGCCCTTTGGGCTTCTGGGAATTTAACCGCATGCCGCAAGGCCTGACAAATGCGCCAAGCACATTCCAAAGATTAATGGAGAAGTGCATGGGGGATATGCATTTGAAAGAGGTGCTAGTTTTCCTCGACGACTTGATAGTGTTCTCAAAGACCCTGGAAGAACATGAAACAAGGTTGTTGGAGGTGCTCACTCGGTTGAGAGAGTTTGGATTAAAGTTATCACCTGAAAAGTGTGTGTTTTTCCAGACCTCAGTGCGGTACCTGGGACACATAGTGTCCAGAAATGGAGTTGAGACAGATCCAGAGAAAATCTCTGCCCTTCGTACTTGGCCAGTTCCTCAGACCCTAAGGGAATTGCGATCTTTTCTTGGGTTCGCTGGCTATTATCGAAGGTTCGTAAAAGACTATTCCAGCATTGTGAAGCCCCTCAATGATCTGACTCAGGGCTATCCTCAATCAACCAAAAGGGGTAGATCAAGAGACAGCCAAGAGCATTATCACCATCCCAAAGAGCCGTTTGGGAACCGTTGGACATCAGCTTGCCAGCAGGCAATTGAGTCAGTTATTGAAAAGCTGACAACTGCCCCTGTCCTAGGGTTCGCTGACCCTCAAAAGCCTTATGTGCTCCACACTGATGCTAGCACTACAGGTCTTGGTGCTGTCTTGTACCAGGAGCAGGAAGGGCAGTTACGTGTCATAGCCTATGCAAGCAGAGGGCTGTCGCATAGCGAGTCTCGATACCCAGCGCACAAATTAGAGTTTTTGGCGCTTAAGTGGTCAGTAACAGAAAAGTTTAGTGACTACCTATATGGGAATCACTTTACTGTTGTCACTGATAGCAATCCCTTGACGTACATATTGACGACTGCAAAACTTGATGCAACGAGCTACAGATGGCTCGCAGCTTTGTCTACGTTCACATTCAAGCTGCTGTATCGTCCTGGGAAGCAAAACTGGGATGCGGATGGGTTATCCCGTAGACCCCACGGAGCTCTTGTGGATGATCTGAAATCCCAGAAAGAGAGGGAGCGCATTTTCCAGTTCACTCAGGGTCATCTCGCTGATCTTGAAAATCTCGAGGAAGCCAACCAAGCGGTTGTGAAAGCCATTTGTGAAAGACAGTCAGTGTATAGCGCCAGCTCTGTTAATCCGAGTTTGGATGGCTGTGTTACTCTTGTTGAAACTCTTGCTATGTCCTCTGATGCTGTGCCTGACTGCTATGGACAAGAAGATGAGTTTGGAGGATTGCCTGTTATTCCTCAACTGACTGAGGCTGAGTTGATGGATAAACAGAGAGCTGACCAATGTCTAAGGCATGTCATATCCCAACTTGAGCATGGGGTAAGCCCACCGCCTACTTTAAGGGGTGAACTTCCAGATCTTCCACTCCTACTTCGAGAGGTTGGTCGGTTTCAGCTTATAAATGGCATCTTATACCGGAGACGCCAGCTCGGGTCTCGGGTATCTCACCAGCTAGTACTGCCCCCAGAGCTCAGAGAGACTGTTTTGAGCAGTCTGCATGACCATATAGGTCATATGGGCATTGAGCGCACATTAGATCTCGTTAGGGCCAGATTCTATTGGCCCAGAATGGCCTTGGATGTAGAGAGGAAAATAAAGACCTGTGGTAGATGTGTGCGCAGAAAGGCGTTGCCTGACAGAGCTGCACCGTTAGTCAACATCAGTACCACAAGGCCACTGGAACTGGTTTGTATGGACTTCCTCTCTCTCGAACCAGACAAAAGTGGAGCTAAAGACATCCTTGTGATCACTGATCACTTTACTAAGTATGCAATTGCTATACCAACATGCAATCAAAAGGCTCGCACAGTAGCTAAGTGCCTATGGGACAATTTTATTGTGCATTACGGGTTCCCAGAAAAGTTGCACAGTGATCAGGGACCTGATTTTGAGTCTCGCACAATAAAAGAGCTCTGTCAGATGGCTGGCATACAGAAGGTTAGAACTACTCCCTACCATCCCAGAGGAAATCCAGTGGAGCGGTTCAATCGCACATTGCTGGACATGCTAGGCACTCTTCAAAACAAAGACAAGTCTCACTGGCGTGATTTTGTGAAGCCCCTTGTTCATGCTTATAATTGCACCAGGAATGAGGTGACTGGATTTGCACCGTACGAGCTTATGTTCGGTCGCCAGCCTCGCCTGCCGGTGGATTTGGCTTTTGGGCTGCCGGTGAAAGAGGAGCAACAGATTTCACACTCACAGTACGTGCAAAATCTGAAATCCCACTTACAAGAGAGTTACAAGGTAGCTACTGGAAATGCTGCCAAGATAGCAGAAAAGAATAAATCCAGATTTGACAGGCGTGTGACTATTTCAGATCTGGAGGTAGGGGACAGAGTATTAGTCAGAAATGTCCGCATTCGTGGAAAAAACAAGATTGCAGACAAGTGGGAGGCAGCCATCTACATAGTCGTAAGCAGAGCAGGATCCCTTCCAGTGTATACTGTGAGACCTGAGAAGAAAGATGGTCCACTGCGGACATTGCATAGGGACCTATTACTCCCTTGTGGCTATCTCCCCAACGAGAGTAGTGACAAGCCTGTAGGGCAGACACAAAGACGCAGGCCAGCAACACGTCTCAGTCCAGTTGCAGACTCCGATCAATTCTCAGAGGCTGAGGATGAGATTTTCCCCAATTACTGGTTCAGAGACGCCCCCAGTTCTGAGATACCTACGGTCACCATTCATCAAGAAACGCACCCTTATTTATCAGTGTCTTCTGGGGAAGATGCACAACTTCCAGAATTTTGTCCCTCAGTTAAAGGTTCTACTGCTCGATATCCAAGCTGCAATCCACAGACTGACCATTTATGTAACTTACCTGTTGACAGTCCAGATTCAGCAACTCTTCCAGTGTCTGAGAGTCACTGTCATGACACAGAAATCGTGAGCGATGACCAAAATCCACCAGCAGAGATGGAGACCGAAAGGATTGCACCTGGAAGTGATTGTCATGACTTGAATCCCGGGTTATCTTCTCTTGCTCCAAACCTGTCTACGGATGTTGAGGCGGCAGGTCGAACTGAAATGGGATTGTCAAATGAGTCACCAACAGATGAATCTCCTGAAGAGCTCTCAGTAGACCAGACACTGATTGGAAGCCAAGACCAACCTGGTTCTGCTAGACGATCAAATAGGGAGCGAGAACCGCCTAAACGCCTTCAGTATGTGAAACTTGGGCATCCACTTATAGCGGTGGTGCAATCTCTGTTCCAGGGTTTAACCACGGCTTTTACAGACATTTTGGATGAGGGTTATCACCCATTAGATTGCCCTGTCCAGACCCATCAGACAGTAATTACCCAACCATTGCCATGCAACGGGGCGTGCATGAGTTCAGTGGGGGAGGTTGTAGCCCAGCTAGAAAAAAAGAGCAGTGGAAAGTATTTTTTTTTTCATGTATAATGTAAAGAATTTAGTCATTTCTTTTTTCTTTTATGTTTAAAGGAAGATGTGGACCAATAAGATTATCTGTTGTCATTTAACTTGGCCAATCAGCAATGAGCTCCCAGTGACCCTTGCTGTTGACCTTGATCACATGATTTCCTGTGTTGCCATTTCGTTCCTGTTCATATAATGCCATGTGCCAGAGAAACTAATGTTCCCGAAGTCGAATCGCTAGGAGTTAAAAGCAAGTCTGCTGCAGTTGTTTTTGGTTGTTCAGAGTTTCACCCTGTCAACGGTGAGTACGAAAAGTGGGGAAAACCTAATTTGTTAAGGATAAAAAGGGCAGACTTAACGGGACGGCGAGTCCGCTAGCCGCTAAGCTAACTGCTAGCGCTCACGCTAGCAGGATTTGACTGTGTTCTGTGTGTGAAATGGCTAGTGACTGCAATCATATTACGTTTAAGAAAAAAAACAAAAGAAATGGTGCTAATCAGTTTTATGTTTAACAAGTTAATCCAATTGTACGCCGATTCTCAGATTTTCAGTTGTGTTCTTTGAGTTGGTTATAATGCACAAGTCTGGTGAGCTACTGTGAGTTGCTGACTGCAGCTACAGTGTTAACTATAGAAGCTGTGTTTTTTTTTTAGAACATTGTCAGCCGTCAGGTTGATAAAATTATAGCTCATCTAAGAGGATATGATGCTGCAGTGATATAATTTTGTTGTACAACAGAGCTAGCTGAATTAAGATATAGAGTTACACTAATACTTATTGTTCATTTTTGAATGTTTTAAGTAAGTGTGGCTGTTTCACAACAGTGAATGTGACTATATGGACCTGTGACCTGTTTATAGGTCAGGTTTTTTTTTGTTATCTGGTAAAAGGATGACTCGACAGATGGACCCAGTCTGAAGCAAGCCCCATCGAAGAGCAGTGATTCCACAGTTCCAGTTAACTGGATGGCGAGCCAACCCGAAATTGAAAAGGATTTGCCAAGGTTTTATTGAAGCCAAAGTTTCGTTCCCATTGAAGCTTCAGATACCTGCAGGACTACGAACTTTCTTCCTTCATCGGAGTGTGGTAGGACAAACATTAAACAAACTGAACGGGCCCCAACGATCCATCAGTTATCAGACATTATCCACTCATATAATTGACTCAGAGAAAGCTGTATGCGTGCACTTTTATTTAGTTTGTTATTTTGGGGGAAATATTTTGTATTTTATTTTATTGTTTTTTTCATTACATTGTTGCAGCTGCTGTGTGTCAAATATAACAAATTTGTGAACAGTATATTGTGGTGTGGTCTCTTCTTATTGGTGTTTATACCTTGGGCTCCTGCCGATCCTAGATCTTCTGATACTGGCTAGTGGGAGTTCGGTCATTCTTAATAATAATTCACAAGTTGGGTTACAGAAGGTTTTTCCAATGCCGGCAATGCCATTTGTTAGAACAACTCTAATGGGTCTCTGTTGGTCAGCCAAAGCTTTAAAGATGTCCTGGCACCTGATTGGAGTGTCATTGATGGTCTTGGAAGCTGTCTCCAGCTGCCTCACCTCATGTTGGGTATGAACTTCTTCACTCTGTCCCTCTGTGATGTAAAGTTCAGTGTAGATCCTGTTGAGCAGAGTCCCACTTCCTGTTTCATCACTTCCTTCAGTCACATGTTCACATCTCCTCCTTAGACTGATTTTATGTTCATCTAATACCTCCTGCAGACCAACATCTGCTAAAAGAAAGAAAAACAATGATGCTAAATAGATAGAAAACTCTTTAATACCCATCACAATAAGAAGTCCAGGCTTTAGATGTTCAGTCGTACTTTGAGCACAACCTCTCTGACTGGCGGTCTGCAGTCTGGACCTGCATCCAAACTGTGGACACAAGGAGTCTCTCCCTTGTCTGCAGAACCAGTGTCTACAATTGGTAGAGACTGGATCCTTCAGGATGTCCTGACACAAAGCACAGTAGGACAGCTGCTCCTCCACACTAACATGACTCTTCTCTCTGTGGACATGAAGGAAAAAATATTCTGACCAGAAAAATACACAGTAAAGTCAGAAATATAAATATAATTAAAATATAAATATAATTATATAAATATAATTACTCAGTTCAGCAGAAACAGTCTCTTACTTTTTGTCTAAGGTTGCGGGTTCATCACTGAAGTCTGGATTATGCTCTTTGGACCAATCACTCTTCGCAGACACACAGCTAGATTCTGCAGATGATGTGATGTGTATGTGGTGTTGATCTCTGGAAACACAAACAAAGCATAAACAAACTAACCCCCCCCACCCAAAACCCTTGTCATTCATGGACATAAAATGTTTTTTGTTGTTTGTTTTTTTTCATGGCAGCTTTTGAGACAGTTTTGGGTTTTGCCATGAAACTAGGCTGAGCAGTCAGGCCACTGTGATTAAGAGAGGATTTAAGAAGTGCTCACTTGTAACTTCCTGATTGCATCACATTCAAAAGCACAGACTATTGACTCAAACATGGGCTGCAGGTAGTCCAACTTTTCCAAAATGGCACATTATTACATCCCATTGCCATAAGGGTTGCTTAGTCTCCCAGCACAGTCTCAAGTGTATGAAGGTCCAGCAGACAGGCAATTAATCTAGGAGTAAGTTAAACAGAGCCGTAGAATCTCCTTACCAAACAATTGTCTCTAACCAAAAAATTAGAAACAGACTTTATGAGGGTGACCTGACGGCCTGACATCCTCTAGTGGGATCTGTGCTTCTTGCCCAGCACCATGAATGATGCTGGTGCAATGGCTGCTGGGTTCCTCCTGGTCTACAACAATGTCCAACCGCATGTGCCCAGGGTATGCAGCTATTACTGGAGGAACTGGCTGACCCCCACGGTTGCCTGACCTGAATCTAATAAAATATCTCCTGGACATTGTCAGGGTTCCTGGGTCGGTGACCCAGTGTTTTCAGTTTTGTTCATGTTCAGTTTATTTTGCCACTTCCATGTGCTCACTTCCTGCTTTTCCTGCTTTTCCTGCTCGTCTTGTGTCATTAGCCAGATTATGTTCAGCTGTGTACTCACCGGTCTCTCATTATCATCCTCATCAGTCTGTGTATTTAAGCCCTCTGTTTCTACTCGTTCACTGTCGTGTCATTGATGTTATGTTGTTCTTCCCGTGTGTTCCCTCAGTTCAGTCCGCCATTCAGTTGTCCAGCCAGTCAGTGTCCGTTCACCCACTCCTTATAATAAACCTCACCTACCTGCCAGTCCTGCGTTTGGGTTCTTTCTTCCTCGCCTCCACACAACGCCTGACAGAATGACACGACCCGTGCCACGAAGACACAATTGGAACCCAGCGGACTCGGACCTCTACGAGCGGCAGGAGGTAGCGCTCTCCTTGTGGGCGGAAAAGCTCAAGGAGAGACAGCGGCTTTTCGTGGAGCGAGAGCACGTCTTCGAGGGTACTCGCTTGGCTCTGGGCGGGCCTTGGAGACACCGCGTTCACCCACCCACCTGCTACCTCCCATGCACCGGAGCATCTGCCGCGGAGTGTGGGCGTTTCACGCCGTGCTTCGGCCGCTCCCTCTCTCGCCACTTCGCTCCTCGCTCACACACCCACCGCCTCATTCGCCGGACCTCCACCATCGCCACGGCACAGCGGCTACGCCTCACACCTCGGCTCAACGGAGGCTACCGCACCAGAGGCTCTGCTGTTTACCCCGGCCGCTTCCTCTTCCCGGAGAAAGCGGCGCACACGCCGCCATAAAACGGACTACTTTCAGCCACTCCCGATGGTGAGCTCCAGTGACTGTTTTTCGCACTCGCCATCTGATTATTCACTTAAAACGCACAATAGACTCACTTCTGATTCATGGGGAGTCTCCCTCCTAGACGAGGACGTGGACTGGGAAGAGTTTTTCTGCTCTGCTCCAAAGACTGTAAATAGTGGTGGCAGAAAAACCAGAACAATCCCCAATTAACCTGCCAGTAACACACACACACCGTCACTATTTCCACACCCGTTACTCAGCCATTTCCCACCAGCACGGCGGCCCAGATTCGGCCTTCCCCTTCAGCCGTTTCACCTCCTCTGATGGCTAGGGCCCAGTCTACACCCACACCAGTGCCAGCTCCCAGGAGGAGGGCAGCTGCGACCCAGTCTACCTCCACACCCGCTTCTGTTTCTCAGGTGGGGGTGACTGGTGTCCAGCCACCTCCCGTGCCTGTCCCAGCACCCAGGCTGAGGGCAGCCCGAATCCAACCTGACCATCCCAGAGGCCTAGCTGAGGCTCTCCAGCCAGTGCCCTCATGCTCCAGAGGCTCGGAAGAGCTAGCCTGCTTACTCATCAGCCCACCACTTCATCCACCACCTGATCCAGCCTTTCACGCACTAGCTTTATCCCTGGTTAGGCTGGCTGAAGTGTCCCCTGCTCAGGCACCAGCTTTACTAGCCCAGGCTGTAGCTTTATCTCCCTCATTTGTCATGGTCCTGGGCCATGTTGGCCCAGTGTTCTTAGTTTTCTTGTATGTTTGTATTTTGTTCCTTATTTAGGCCATGTTTTCTGAGTTGCCCTGTTGTGTTGTTCCCTAAGTGTTTTCCCTTCATGGCTTTTACCCCCTGTGTGCCCCTCTGTGTATCTGTGAGCCCTCGTCTCTCCTTATGTTTTATTCCATGTTTCCCCTGCCCATTATGTCTAAGTTCTCCCCGTGCTCTCTCTCCCCCCCTGTGTGCCCTCTGTGTATTTATGAGCCCTCGTCTCCCTTTGTGGTTGTTTCATGTTTCCCCAGCCCGTTATGTCTGTGTTTTCCCCGTGCTCTCTCTCCTCCTGTCTGAACCTCTGTGCACTTCCTGTTTACTTTGTGACTCTCACGCCTGTACATGTCATGTTCAGTTCACGCCGCCCTGTCTCGTTATGATTATCAGTGTCACCTGTGTTCCCCATGTGTTCCCACTTTCCTCGTTAACCCTCTGTGTATTTCTGTCTGCGTCTCCCTCTGTTCGGCGTCGCGTTCTCCCTCATGTTGTGTGTTATTCTCCCCGTGGTTCGGTTCCTTGTACATCTCATGCTTTAGTTTTCCCAGTTTTAGTTTATTTTGTATTGCTTCTCGTGGCCAGCAATAAAGCTGTGTTTTTTGAGTTTATCCCCGTGTCTGTGAATCTGCATCTTGGGTCCTTCTCCTGCCTGCCACACAACGAACCATGACATCATTAGCTCAGTCTATAGCTCAGCCATCAGCTGTACCAACCTCAGCTCAGCCATTAGCCTCACCGACCTCTGTTTATCCGTTAGTCTCCTCAGTCCAGGCAGTTCACTCACCTGCCCTCCAGTCCCCTGTGGTTCAGTCTCCTCCTGCCCTCCAGTCTGCTCCTGTCCAGTCTGTAGTCCAGTCAGTCCAGTCTGCTCCTGTCCAGTCTGTAGTCCAGTCTGCTCCTGTCCAGTTTGTAGTCCAGTCTGCCCCTGTCCAGTCTGTAGTCCAGTCAGTCCAGTCTGCTCCTGTCCAGTCTGTAGTCCATTCTGCCCCTGTCCAGTTTGTAGTCCAGTCGCCTCCTGTCTCCCAGTCGCCCGTCCACCATCCCGTTCAGTTCCCGGACCTGCAGCCACAGCACCCAGAGCCAGCTGTGAGCTCTCCTGCTCCTCAGCCAGGGGTTTCCGCACCCGCTGGCCCGGCCGCTCTTCAGCCAGGGGTTTCCGCACCCGCTGGCCCGGCCGCTCTTCAGCCAGGGGTTTCCGCACCCGCTGGCCCGGCCGCTCCTCAGCCAGAGGCTTCCGCGCCTGCTGGCCCTGCCTGTCTCCAGCCAGAGGCTTCCGCGCCTACTGGCCCTGCCTGTCTCCAGCCAGAGGCTTCCGCGCCTACTGGCCCTGCCTGTCTCCAGCCAGAGGCTTCCGCGCCTACTGGCCCTGCCTGTCTCCAGCCAGAGGCTTCCGCGCCTACTGGCCCTGCCTGTCTCCAGCCAGAGGCTTCCGCGCCTACTGGCCCTGCCTGTCTCCAGCCAGAGGCTTCCGCGCCGCCTGGTCCGGCATCAGACTCGGCTTCGCCTGGTCCGGCCTCAGCTTCGCCTTTTCCTGTGTCAGCTCGTCTTGTGTCATTAGCCAGATTATGTTCAGCTGTGTACTCACCGGTCTCTCATTATCATCCTCATCAGTCTGTGTATTTAAGCCCTCTGTTTCTACTCGTTCACTGTCATGTCATTGATGTTATGTTGTCCTTCCCGTGTGTTCCCTCAGTTCAGTCCGCCATTCAGTTGTCCAGCCAGTCAGTGCCCCTTCACCCACTCCTTATAATAAACCTCACCTACCTGCCAGTCCTGCGTTTGGGTTCCTTCTTCCTCGCCTCCATACAACGCCTGACAGACATTATGTTTTGGTTCATCTTGGATCACCAGGTTGCACCTCAGACTGTCCAGGAGCTTAGTGATGCCCCAGTCTAAATCTGGGACCAGATTCTCAATGACAACATACATCATCTCATTAGGAGCATGCCCTTACGTTGGTATTTGGCCTGCATGAAGCACATGGGAGCCACATAAACTATTTAGTACCAGTTTTAGTTGCAGCAATGACATTTTGGTGAAATAAACAAGCCTGCCACAAAACATTTCACTTTAAATTTCAGGGTGTCTTTGAATTCAGCCCTCTGTATGTTGATCATTTCCATTTCCATCAAACAATGTTTCATTCCTAACATATTACCCAGTCCATAACAGTATACTGTAGATATCCAGCATCATTCTTTCCCTATTGAGATCTAATGTGTTTTCCAAGTGTTACTTTTATTGAGCAGTGAGCAGTGTGTACTTCTAACATCAGCATCTGTTTATCTAAAGTTCAGCTTTTGCCATTATATTGTGACCAGTTCTTTTCAGGGAGATGACTTCATGGTCTTTGGTGGGTAAACACATTAGAAAGCAGTTGGATATAGTAAAGAGCATCAGTAGGTTTGAATGACTTTGTTTGTTCAATAGAAAAAGGTTAAAAATCAGAAAGTGGGTTAATCTGACACAATTAAACAGCATTTAGTTTTGTCTTCCTATGAAATGAATTATCTTCAGTTTGATCTACAGACATAAAGTATCTCTTACTTAGTGTCTGAGGGTCTAGGTTCAGTGTTGAACACTGGAGGCTGAGCTTTGGACCAGTCACTCTTTATAGATAGACAGCTGGATCCTGGATACTCTGCTCTGTAATCCTCTTGATGCAGATCCCTCATTTTCAGTGCATCTGAGAGAACCCGGCAACACTGAAAGACAAAAACTTCACACCTAGAACAGGAAGTAACACACACATACACACTGCAGACAGGAGTCTAGAGTGTAATAAACCAAGCTGACAATTCTCATAAATGAGCAGATCCTTATTTTCTCTTGCAGTCCACGGAGAAACAGCAGACTCCACGTTTATTTTCCTCCACCATGCTCCTGTGTATGTTATGTCACAAGCGTGTGTACCAAATGTGCTACAGGTACAAAGATGTTCAGAATTGAGGCACATCTTTTCATTCAAAAACAATTGTTTATGATTATTCTTACACCATATAAATGCACAATAACAATTACCTTCTTTCCCTCCTTGAGCTCCATTTCTGTAAAATGAAGTTTGAACTCTAAATACTTTCACTATTGAGCAGAAAACCACTTCCTGCCATCTCAATTTTCAGGAAATCACATGCATGCATTACTGTACACGAGAACTGTTTATTACCGAACAAAGCCACGCAGTTACAGCAAGTCTGCCACACAGAAAATGGATGAATATTTTTCTTGGTTTTATGGAAACTCAGAACCTGTAGAGTTACTTGGAGATCCTGTGATACACCACCTAAATGGTTTTCTCACTTATCATTTGGAGATTTTCTTTGATCCCTCACTGACACTGAATCTTTTGTAAAAACAAACAAACAAACAAACAAACAAACAAAAAAAGCAATAATTGAAAAAAAATAGGAGTAGAAATGACATACACTATAGGTAAAATGTCAGCTATTCTGGTGGTTAACATGGAATAAGGTCAGTAAAGTGAAAACTGTTGCAGTTTTTAGCGCTACAGTCGTGGATGTTTATGCTGCTAGCAGTGTTGGGAAGGTTACTTTTAAAATGTATTCCATTACAGAATACAGAATACATGCCCCAAAATGTATTCTGTAACGTATTCCGTTACGTTACTCAATGACAGTAACGTATTCTGAATACTTTGGATTACTTAATATATTATCATGCTTTTTACAACAACGTGAATGTGCTATTGCTGTGTGATTTATTACTATTACTGAAGGTCCGCGACTCCGAACTGTAGTAAAGGGACCTCTGACTAATAAGGCGGGGTCCCTGTCGGCTCGTAGCCGAAAAATAGCTTTACTTTGTTGGGGGGGTCAACTTTTCTTGCGAGAGACAGAGAGAGGCGTTGAAAGGCTGCTCCAACGGAACTTATTGTTTTCGGAGGAAAACACGAACACGGTGTACAGTCGAGTCTTAATAGCTTACTTACAACTGGGCTCGTGAGACACTCTTCTTGGCTGAAGTGGTTATTATTATATTTACATGCTTCCAGCTCCCATTTTTCCTCGATGACAACTCCAACCTTTCCACTCCCCTTTTTCTCTCTCCCTCCTCGCGCTCACAGACCCATAACGTGTATGGCAGTGTTGTGCCAAAAAGTGATTGCCTGCCAAAAAGTGATTTCCAATGTTTCCGTGTATTTTTTATGTGTAATATCTTTACGTATGTTGGTAAATAGACTTCGGTGAACAGCGTTTACAAAGGGGTTATATATAGAATTAAAAGATTATCTGTTTTTTCAAGTATCTTTATAACTCTGTGTTATTGTACTCACATTATAACCAATCCGGTCCTTTTTCCCCACTTACAATATTTTTACAGAACTATTGTAATATTTGCTGCCATTTCTGCTGTCTTACTCTTACAAAAGACATTTTTAATGTTAATGAGATTTTTTTTTAACTGCATAAATAAAGGTTCTATAAAAGTCGCTGCCAAAAACTGATTGCGGCTTCTACCTTGTTACACGAATGTTGTTTGTGGCTCAATATGACTTTGTGTCATCCATGAGGGATGCATTTGACATATGTTTCACATATTATAGGCCAACAAGTTACTTATAGCAGTTTAAATACGAGCAATCAGTTTTTGGCAAATACCGGAAATCAGTTTTTGGCAGACAATCACTTTTTGGCACAACACCAGTCCATTCTCCCTGCAACACGGACTACACTGCCCATGATGCTACATTCTTTAGAGCTATGCTTGTAGCATTCTGCCTGTTAGCTTAGCACAACAACAACAACAACAACGAAAAGGCGCTCTCTCACCCAGGAAACACACAGTCGCAGAGAGAGAGAGAGCGAGCGTCGCCCTGTAACCATGGCAACCGTAGCGCTGCCGCCTGGAACAACAGAACATAGCTGTCAAACAAAACCCAAATGGTCCTGACCCGCGACAAAATGGAACATGAAAGTACCGCAGTGTAATCCATTTATTTCAACAAAGTAACTATATTCTGAATACCACCTTTTTAAACGGTAACTGTAACGGAATACAGTTATTCATATTTTGTATTTTAAATACGTAACGGCGGTACATGTATTCCGTTACTCCCCAACACTGGCTGCTAGCCTGCTAGCCTAAAGTTCACATGAAGACTACACCTTTGAGTTGAGGGATAGTGGTGGGGCACCAATGTTAGCAATACCTGAGTGCGCTTAGAAGAAAGTTACCTGCTCTCTGTGAATCTAATGTGACTAAAAATTTACCTGTTTGGGGATTACATTCAACAATTTCCTAACATGTACAGTTCAGAGACTTGTTCAGAGAATGATACTTTTTATAAATGTTGTTATAAGTTTACAGTCCTAAACAGCCTGTCACTTATGGAATCTGAGCTGTCTGGGTTAGACGTTAACAACTTGATCAGTGATTGTTCTCCTGTCATGGTGATCTGTCCTCTAAGGCTGAAATGGTTCTGATTCTGGACTGAACTAAAAGCCTTTGAGGTCTTCCAGTGGCTTCGGGAAGTTGTGGTTCCTCTTCCCTTTTCTGCATCTGTGGCCACAGCAGCTGAGGGTTGAAGGTTTCCCGGAGAGTTTGAAATCTGCCCTGACAAGCTGGAAATTTATTCCCCTTCGGCGTTTTTGCAGTAAGGCTGAAGCAGCTGAAGGAGCATGTGAGACAGTATACATTCTCTCTGTATGGTGGCTAGATCATTCGGATCTCGTATTGTCTGAATATTTTTGTCATTTTCTTGTTCTGGCTCGACTGCATCAACTGTCCTATCTTGCGGACTGAGATAGGTCTAAATAAGGCTTAAGGAGACAGCTTGACCTATCACAGTCCCCCGCTCAGGGAGTGCCCCTTTCCCTCTGAAAGAGCAGGAAATTTCAGGCCAGGGCTTGGAGCTCTGAGCAGTTTGACATGCACACTTCCCTCTTCTCGTAAGAGTCAGCTGGGCACTTGTTAAACAGTGCTCTCTGGTGGCCAACTGCCTGCAGTACAAAGATATTCAATGAGAGTGGTTAAGAAAGGACACACATTTAAAGCTTATTTCCTTTTTGTTCCTCAGGCTGTGTAAAGAGTGACTGTTAACCATCAAAATGTTAGACCTAAAAGATTTATCAATTTGATGAAGTCATGGCTCAGACATCATAACAGGCCTCTGGATACTTACATGGAAATCTATCTACACATGAGCTTAAGCAGCCAGAAAGAAATAGAAATGACTGTGAACTCTACTTCTGTTTGTAGCTCGTCTTCTGTCTCGATATTTGCATGTTTCTGTCACTGAATGACAGACAATTAATCACAAAAACTGTCATCTCAAGGCACTTTATATTCTAAGCTGGAGACCTTACAATAATACAGAGAAAGCCCCAACAATCAGATGACCTCCTATGAACAAGCACTCGGTGACAGTGGGAAGTAAAAACCTTTAACCTTTTAACAGGAAGAAACCTCGGGCAGAAGCAGGCTCAGGGAGGGGCAACCATCTGAACAACCGGTTGGGCTTTAAGACAAGCAGAGACAGGACAAAAACACACTTTGGGAGAAAGAGCCAGCAATGATTAATTATTATTTATGATTAATAATTAAATGCAGTAATGGTGTGGAAAGAGCTGAGTGTCTGTGAAAACCAGGGGTGTCTGTGGTGCTCTTTTATTTTTGAAAGTCATTGATGTTTACATCAGAAAAATCAAACATGACAAAAACAAGAGACCCACAAGAAAATGTAGAATAAAAAAAATTCTCTTTCTAAATATTTAAAATGCTGTTTTATTTATTTATTTATGTGTGTGTGTGTGTGTGTGTGTGTGTGTGTGTGTGTGTGTACAAAAACACTGAGTGGAGTAAGATAAATGAGTCCACATTGTTTAAAAAAAAACCCAAAAAAACCAAAATGATTGCTGCAGCTTTTTTCAAGGCGACTTCAGGCTAAAATGAGTTGTTGGCATGTGTGAGTTTTCTTTTGAGTCCATGCTTGAATGCCACTGACTGCATAACCCTCATTTCTTTTCTTAAAAATGGGAGGAGCTTTTTTTCCTTAAAACATTTTTATAAAAGTTCTAAAAGTTTAGTGGGACTTTTAAAAATAAAAATAAGATAAAAGTGTTGGAAATATATATAGAAAACACATTTAAAACTCAAAATGTAAACTTTGAATTCAAATAATTAAACTTTTAATTTTTAGTAGTCCTGGCTGCACCAGTTCTCTTTTGGAGAGATTTGAGCTTCACTTTCACATCCCTTATCTTTTGTATGTAATGAACATGAACTTCTGCATTCTTAACATGTGACAAAAATAATGATTTCTGATAAAAGTTGATTCTAAATGAAAGCCACAAGTCAAATCTTGGAAAACTGAAAACATTTCTTAACTTCAAAGCAAGAACAACTAAGATAAATAAACAGTAGCATAAGAACAATGTTTATGTATCAGAAAAGCTGTGGCATTTTTCGGGTTTTCACTGATCTTAAAGGAACAAGTCAGAACTCCTTACAGAGCTGTAAGGCACTTTGGACACAAACCTCAAACTCACGTTAAAATTCAAGAAAAACAAAACTAACAGGACTCCTGGAACTTCCACGCAAAGCCAGCAATAAAGGAACAGTGCATCTTTCTGTGTCTAATATGGTGGAGGGTTGTACAGCTCCTCGTATTTTGGTGGCGATGTGGAGAGGACAGTGGGAACTGTGAGCAGGATGGGGGGTCTGTTGGGGTAACGCATCTGGTGGATCATTGCCGAGGACAGAATTGTGCCGAGCAGCTGCAGGGGACACAGAAAGGAGAGTTAAAAATCAGCTGCTCTGCAGGCTTAAAAATCTTAAATTGATAACATGGAAATTCAACTCAGTTTTCTTTATATAGCACCAAATCACAACAACAGTCTCCTCAGGGTGTTTCATGTTGTCAGCTAAAGGCCCAACAATAATACAAAAAAATCAGATCATTCTGTACGAGCAAGAACTTCGAGACTGTAGAAAGGAAAAGGTCTCGAATTTAAAGAGAAATGAGAACTGAACTCAGAGTCAAGATTTTCAGCTAAAATAGATTCTGGCTCTGAGAAATATCAGATTTAGATTTATGGCGCTGGCACGGCTGGCAGCCTTAACCCAATTTCCCTCGGGATGAATAAAGTATTATCAATCAATCAATCAACACGTGCGCGCGCACACACAATGAAACAATTCTATTTTTATATCAAAATAATCATATTTATCTTTTTCTGGGACTTGGTGAAAGTTCATTCTCCAACTAACACAAACATTTCCTTCTGGTTTCTCGTTGCTTTTATTTGATTGGCTCCCCACCCACTCGTTCTTCAAACAGAAGCTTTGGTGAACAACTTGGTTTGGCTTCTCTGCCTGAGATAATGATACAATATTTTATGTTATTATTTTATTGTTTCCTGCAAAGACCTGGATTGGTACACATGATTATAGGCTACTTGTGGCTTAGTCATGGGTCCTACAGTGTTTTATTGTTTCGCGTATCTTTCAGGTGACTCCATAATATGACTCGCATTCCAGAAAGTACAGAGTACTTACTGTGTACTTGCCTCATTGTTTCCTGCAAAACCTGACTTGTTGCCTGCAAATTGCATGCAAGTACAGGGTACTTGAGCCGTATTTGCAGGTTGTGTTATAAAGTGCTACCAAAAACTGAACAACTAGATGTATTATACACGCAATGACCTCATTATTTGAAACTTTTCCATGTTTACTATGAGCGGCCACCTCAGGAACAGGAATTCCAGGTGTATTTGGTTAGAATGAAACCGAACTGAGAACATTTTACTGAACTCACTTAAACTAAAAAATAGTTTTGACTGAAATTTCATCACAGAAATGTTTCTTTTTATTGTCACAGATCAAATGCTGATCTTCTGGAGCATGTGGCATTTTCAAGTATTTGAAACATGATTTTAGGACTTCATGATCATTTTTAAAGAGAAACAGTTTCGGTTATTATTTTGTAAATCAAAAATAACAGTGACTGATGTAAACGTGACACTCCCCATCAAGACAAAAGCTAAATGACTGGCCATTTGTTTTTTCAGTTTTAAAGGATCATTACAGATCACATGGTAAATAATAATGGATTGGATTTATATAGCGCTTTTCAAGGCACCCAAAGCACTTTACAATACCACTATTCATTCACTCTAACATTCACACACTGGTGGAGGCAGCTACAGTTGTAGCCACAGCTGCCCTCGGGCAGACTGACAGAAGCGAGGCTGCCATATTGCGCCATCGGCCCCTCTGGCCAACACCAGTAGGCAAGTAGGGTAAAGTGTCTTGCCCAAGGACACAACGACCAGGACAGAGAGCCCAGGGATCGAACCGGCGACCTTCCGGTTACAGATGCGATTCCCAACCCCCTGAGACACGGTCGCCCTATATAATGCATCATAAGTCTTACCTAAAGATCAAACCACTTTAGACAAACCACATCCTGCAATTTCACCATATTTAAAATCTAAAAAAAATCCCCATCCACTACTCTGAATACTTTACTGCTATATTAAACTACTTTCTTAAAAAATGATATTGAATCAGATTTTTTTTTTTGAGTGCTGCCATTAGTAACTGAAACAGGACATTTACTCTGTGGAAACCTTGTCTTTAAATAGCTAACAATACTCACTGCCAGAATAGCCAGAGTGAAGAAGACTCCGAGTACGATGTCAAAACCCAGCAGGAAGTAGTGCATTATTATGGGGAAGCAGGTCTAAACACAGACAAAAAATAAAGTTAGGGTTATAGTTTCTGTAAATCAGCTGATGAAATCAAGAAACATTTTTCAAAATAAAGCCGAGTCACTCACTTGGGTGTAGATGGATGTTGATCTCTCCATTAAAGACTGGAAAGATAGAAAAATTAAAAGATATGACTAACCGAGTTACATTTAATAGAAGTGAAGCTGTGTGTGTTGATACTCACTCTGTAGCCAACAGTCTGACACTTGCCCTCTTCCTCCTCCTCCAGGTTGCATTTACAGGATTCAGGAATGTTGTTCCAGTCTTTGTAGCTGAACAGACCACAGCAGTGAAACTAAAATAAACCAGAAGAAACAGGAGGGTTATAGTTGACTGGCACAGATGAGATGGAGAACGATTCTTTTAAAAGTGTGAGAGAGTGTTAAAAGACACTGTCCAGGACATTTCCATCTCCTGCTGTTATGATTAACTGTAATCTATACAACCCATATAATCCAGTCTATGTAATCTGGTCTGTTGGACAGCTCTGGAAAAAGTGAAGGGGGCAGAAATTCTGGACTTTTAATTGTCTCCTCCATGGTCGTTCATATTTTTCAGCATCTACAGAAATCTCAGTTAAAACAGAAAATATATAAATCTATAACCAGTCGAGATGCGTTCATGAAACCGCACATCTTACAGTGAGACAGAGATGAAATGTGTCATTAAACTTCTTTACACTGACAGAAAGGATAGTTTCTTCAGACCAAAGCTTCCTGTATGTTGACCTCAATGCAAAAATATGTTTGGCACCTCTGATTTACATTGTGCCGCAAGAGAGGAAGTTGAAACTTCTGCTTTTTACCGAGATTCAAAGTAGAGCTATGGTTTTGATTCTAAAGGGAAGTCAGATACACATATCATTGTCACGGTCCTGGGTCTGTGACCCAGTGTTTTCTGTTTTGTATGGTTAATCTTTGATTTCATGATGTACAGTGGGGCAAAAAAGTATTTAGTCAGCCACCAATTTGTGCAAGTTCCCCCACTTAAAATGATGACAGAGGTCAGTAATTTGCACCAGAGGTACACTTCAACTGTGAGAGACAGAATGTGGGAAAAAAGAAAAAAGAAAAAAAAGAAAAAAAAAATCCATGAATCCACATGGTAGGATTTGTAAAGAATTTATTCGTAAATCAGGGTGGAAAATAAGTATTTGGTCAATAACAAAAATACAACTCAATACTTTGTAACATAACCTTTGTTGGCAATAACAGAGGTCAAACGTTTACTATAGGTCTTTACCAGGTTTGCACACACAGTAGCTGGTATTTTGGCCCATTCCTCCATGCAGATCTTCTCGAGAGCAGTGATGTTTTGGGGCTGTCGCCGAGCAACACGGACTTTCAACTCCCGCCACAGATTTCCTATGGGGTTGAGGTCTGGAGACTGGCTAGGCCACTCCAGGACTTTCAAATGCTTCTTACGGAGCCACTCCTTTGTTGCCCGGGCGGTGTGTTTTGGATCATTGTCATGTTGGAAGACCCAGCCTCGTTTCATCTTCAAAGTTCTCACTGATGGAAGGAGGTTTTGGCTCAGAATCTCACGATACATGGCCCCATTCATTCTGTCCTTAACACGGATCAGTCGTCCTGTCCCCTTGGCAGAAAAACAGCCCCATAGCATGATGTTTCCACCCCCATGCTTCACAGTAGGTATGGTGTTCTTGGGATGCAACTCAGTATTCTTCTTCCTCCAAACACGACGAGTTGAGTTTATACCAAAAAGTTCAACTTTGGTTTCATCTGACCACATGACATTCTCCCAATCCTCTGCTGTATCATCCATGTGCTCTCTGGCAAACTTCAGACGGGCCTGGACATGCACTGGCTTCAGCAGCGGAACACGTCTGGCACTGCGGGATGTGATTCCCTGCCGTTGTAGTGTGTTACTGATGGTGACCCTTGTTACTTTGGTCCCAGCTCTCTGCAGGTCATTCACCAGGTCCCCCCGTGTGGTTCTGGGATCTTTGCTCACCGTTCTCATGATCATTTTGACCCCACGGGATGAGATCTTGCGTGGAGCCCCAGATCGAGGGAGATTATCAGTGGTCTTGTATGTCTTCCATTTTCTGATGATTGCTCCCACAGTTGATTTTTTCACACCAAGCTGCTTGCCTATTGTAGATTCACTCTTCCCAGTCTGGTGCAGGTCTACAATACTTTTCCTGGTGTCCTTCGAAAGCTCTTTGGTCTTGGCCATGGCGGAGTTTGGAGTCTGACTGTTTGAGGCTGTGGACAGGTGTCTTTTATACAGATGATGAGTTCAAACAGGTGCCATTCATACAGGTAATGGGTGGGGGACAGAAAAGCTTCTTACAGAGGACGTTACAGGTCTGTGAGAGCCAGAGATTTTCCTTGTTTGAGGTGACCAAATACTTATTTTCCACCCTGATTTACGAATAAATTCTTTACAAATCCTACCATGTGAATTCATGGATTTTTTTTTTTTTCACATTCTGTCTCTCACAGTTGAAGTGTACCTCTGGTGCAAATTACTGACCTCTGTCATCATTTTAAGTGGGGGAACTTGCACAATCGGTGGCTGACTAAATACTTTTTTGCCCCACTGTATCTTTGTTTATTCCTACGTTTTGGTTCTGTGTTATATTATACCTCTAAGTTCAGTCTATGTATTTCCTGTTTTGTTGTGAAGGTCCGTGTCTCATGTCAGTGTGTTTAGTTTTGTTTCCTCTGTCTAGTCATGTCCGATTACTCCCAGCTGTGTCCTCCTTCTGTGTCTCATTCTCTTGTTATCCTTGTGTCTGCCTCTGTTAGTTGCTGGTTCGTCTGTGTAACAGCCATCCGTCATTCTGTGTATTTCCCTGCGTTGCTGTTTCTGTTAGTTTTTACCAGTTTAGGTTATTCTTAGGTTTTGTTTCATGCCTGTTACATTCCTGTCTGTTTTACCTACCATGTCAATAAAGCTCGCTCACATCAGAAGCTGCCTGCATCTGGGGTCCTACTTTCAACCTCACCTCACTGCAGACGTGACAATCATAGTCCTACTAGTGTAAAAAGTTTAAAGATTCAGTTACACCATTTCATGTGTTGCTTGCTTTTTTTTTTTTTTTTTTTTTTTAAATATAAAAACAGGACAGTAAAATAAAGGAACACAGTTTACTGTCTTGGTAAAAGCATTTCCTGGCTCTTCACTTTGCATATCTTGATTTGCACTTCTCTTTGAGAATGCATCTGACAGCCAATAAGCAGCCTAAACTCAACCGGATGCCCTGTGTGGAATTACGGGAATGGAAAAACAGGTCTGACAACAAATGTTTGTGAGCTGGAAAGTCAACGGCTGCAATCTGAATGTAGCGAGCAAGAGGAAGCTCTTTTGTCAAAGCAACCAACCATGACTTTTCATACTTGGCAGTTAGTGCGTGGCTGCACGGTGTCTTCATGAGTAACACTGTCACGTAAAAAGAATTTCAGGCTCGATACTGATACTCAAGAAAATACACAACATGAGGACAAAATGACAGAATGAAAGGACACAGTTCTTATTTTATGTTTTAAATAAATGTTCAAACACTTCTGACTCTTTGACTCCTTATCAAACAGAGCTGGTATGTTAGGCTGTCACAGTTTCTGGTTGCTGGTACTTACTTTACTTCCTTTTGCTTCAATATAGGAAAAAAACTTTATAATTATGCTTTGCTATTAAATTAACACTATTTATCTATCAAAACTGAACAGACCACAGGAGTGAAACTAAAAAACCCCAGAAGAAACAGGAGGGTTATTGTTGACTGGCACAGATGAGATGGAGAACAGGATTGGCAGTCCTGACTGATGACAATGCCCCACAGTCAAACGATAACCTTTTATTATTTGCCATCACTTCTACACACTACCTTAACGATAACCTAATAGATAGCTAATGCGGCTAACTGCTAATAGCTAAAGTAGTTAAAGCTAATGCTAATGTTTAATAGCCGCTACAACGAGTCTTCAACCTCAGTCTGCGACTGGGGAGAGTGCCCGCCCTATGGAAGACATCCTGCATCGTCCCGGTCCCCAAAAAGAACCAGCCCAATGAGCTGAATGACTTCCGACCGGTGGCACTGACGTCACATCTTATGAAGACTCTAGAGCGGCTCTTCCTCAACCTCCTCCGACCACAGGTACAACATGCCCAGGACCCACTACAGTTTGCATACAAGGCGGGTGCCGGAGTGGAGGATGCCATCCTGTACCTCCTACACAGAGCCCACTCACACCTGGATGGGGGAAAAGGCACGGTCAGGATCCTGTTTCTTGACTTTTCCAGTGCCTTTAATACCATCCGGCCCTGTATGCTTCAAGAAAAACTGAACAGGATGGAGGTGGACCCCTGCCTGGTGGCTTGGATCTCCGACTACCTCACCGACAGACCACAGTACGTCAGGCTGAAGGACATCACGTCTGACACAGTGGTCAGCAGCACAGGAGCCCCACAGGGAACTGTGCTGTCCCCTCTTCTCTTCACCCTGTACACCTCTGACTTCTGCTACAACTCTGAATTATGCCACATTCAGAAGTTTGCAGACGACACAGCCATCATGGGGTGTATCTGGGATGATCAGGAAGAGGAGTACAGAAGTCTGGTGAGGAACTTTGTCGCATGGAGTCACACAAACCACCTTCAACTCAACACCTCAAAGACTAAGGAACTGGTTGTGGACTTCGGGAGGTCCAGAGAAGGTCCACTGCCGGTTCAGATAGAGGGGGAGGAGGTGGAGGTGGTCAACTAGTACAAGTACCTCGGGCTGTGGGTGGACAATAAACTGGACTGGTCATGCAACACAGAGCACCTGTATAAAAAAGCCCAAAGCCGACTGTACTTCCTCAGGAGGCTGAGGTCTTTTAACATCTGCAGGAAGCTCCTGAGGATGTTTTACCAGTCGGTGGTTGCTGGAGTACTTTTCTATGCTGTGGTGTGCTGGGGGAGCAGCACAGCAAAGAAGGACTCATCCAGGCTGGAGAAACTGATCAGGAGGGCTAGCTCTGTGGTCGGCATGAAGCTGGACACTCTGGTGACAGTGGCAGAGAAAAGGACATTAAAGAAACTGCTGGACATTATGGACAATGCCAGGCATCCTCTGCACACGGCCATTAACAACCAGAAGAGTCTGTTCAGTGACAGGTTGCTTCTCCCCAAGACAAGAACTAACAGACTTAAAAACTCCTTTGTCCCACACGCCATCAAACTGTTTAACTCCTCTCTGGAGGGGAGAGGGAGGGGAAACAGGAGGACAAAGGAGGGAACAACTAAGCTGTAGTGCCTCTTCACCTCACTGTGCAATACCTTTGTAAATAGTCAACGGTGCAATAGACTCAATACTTGAAATGTGCAATTCACTTGTATTTTTATTTTTATTCCTATTTATTCTATTTATCCCCTTCGTATATTTTATTTATATCGTCTCTGTATTTATATATATGTGTGTGTGTATAACTCTGTAACTTCTGTCGGTGCTGTGCTTTTTTGGAAATCGAATTTCCCAGAGGAACCCACCCGAGGGATTAATAAAGTTCTATCTAATCTAATCTAATCTAATCTAATACTTCAGCTTAAAAATGCTGACCTGACAAAATTCCTCAGAAACACCGGGTTGTCAGCTTCACCAAGTTGGTTGTGTTGCTGTTATTTTTTTAATTTTAGTACCATTTAGTATTCACGATTTGGATTGTTTTCCCTTCTCAACAACCCTACTAGCATTTTCACAATTTTGGCATTGAAGGGTACCATTAAGTTTTAGTTTCATGGAAATCCCAACCCAGCCTTTAATGGAACTCAGCTGGTTTGGATGTAAGAATAAAACATTAAATTGAACAAAAGAGAAATCCACAAAGTACATGAAGTATAAAACACAAGGCAGAGCTGAATATCTCACAATTTTCTGGATGTTGTCAGCCATGTTCTTCATATCCCTTGAGTTTTCATCCAAAGGCAGAAACATCCGAAACTTGTTCTCCATTATACCTTCAATCTGCAAACAAAATCGTCATCCATATTAGATATCACTTTTTGAAAATAACGTTGTTCTACCATTTTTTTTAGCCAGTGATTATTTATCTTGGTGATTATTTTGATACATAAAGTGACTAAAAGGGTTTCCAGCAGAGATATTTGTGCAAAAAGAATTGAAGTAATAACTGAAATATTTTAATATTACAGTTTAGACCTTATTAAATTCTTTAAGGAACAGTTTAAATAAGATGAAAACCCTCCAAAGCTTGAGAGGATTAAACTGATGAAACTCAGCTTTACGTCACTTTTAGGCCTCATTTATAGTAATTTCACTAAAAACTATGTTGACATTTGGATTATTAAACGATGTTATTTGTCACTGCTGTTGTTTGCAAGTACTTTTCCTTGAAAAACAAAGCTAAACACTCTGTAGAGCTGATGTGGCAACCAGACACTCATGCGGTTGCAGGCTGTGAAAATGTGGTTATTTCAACTTTTTCAGAGGAAGCTGAAATTCCACTATGTCTTTAGCCACAGTGAACTCTTACACTTTCAACTGATGAAGTTGTTAGTTAGGTTATCACCTACAGTATTTTACTGAAGTTAAACACTGTCATTAAATATATGTTTATTTTAACAACCTTCCACCTTAGCTACATATACCAGGTACAATAAAACCATGTACAATAAAAATGAAAACCGAATACCTGATTAAACTTCTCTGCTGCTGTCAGCTCATGTAAACCTCTTTACATGTACCAGACACTGGTGAATCTCTTTAGGGCTGGGGGCAAGCTTAGTGTTCAGTTCTATCAACCCCTTTGCATCAAATTTTTATCTATTTGGCACAACATATGGGGAATTTTTGCATGGAAAGCACTCTGAAAATGCTCTACTTTCTGAAACTACGCAACACAACAACTGCCAATAAATGAATTATTGGAAATTTGATGGCTTTTAATTGTGTTTACTGGTGAATTTAGCTTCATCATGTTCACAGCATAAATAAAGGAGTGCCTGTATTTACATTTCCTATCATTAGACTCCAAAGCAGTGACAGGTGGGCCTTTACCTGTGGACGCATGATGGCAACCGGGACTGCATATTTGAACATCACCAGACATCCAAGGACCATACACACCAGGAACTGTGGGGAAGAACATGAAAACACTTAATCTGATGTATTTGGGGATTACTGACATTTCTCAACCCTGACCAGTTTCACTGTGAGGAAGAAGAAAAAAGATCATTTGACTCTCCAGGTTAAATCATAGAATATTTCTAAGATGGTTAATTTTGTAACATGTAAAAAGGAAGTAATTTTTATTCTTTCACAACTGTGCATGTGATCTACTTCAAGCTTTTCAACTGTTCTCATTTTACCTAAAAGCAGTTTTGCACTTTAACAGCAGTGCCTCCAGAACATGCTTTCAGCTCCAGTGTGCTCTGCACAGCAAGTCTATACTCACAGGGGGACACTTTCTGAAACAGTGATCTGTGTGTGTGTTAGTTACTCCTTGGGGTCATATTGGGTACAAACAGCAGTCTTTGGGGCTTAAAAATTAAGGGCTGAAGTATCAAAAGTTACAGTACTTCCGATGCCCACCTAAGGCTCCAGCAGTAAGTCGACATTTGGAGTTTTTATTTTGAAGTTAGAGTATCCCAGAAGATCAGGTAATCTTTGTACTCACCACAATCAGGGCAACTCTGCTCTCTTTGTGGGCTCCATAGGCTCCCAGGATAGCCAGCACCATGATGATGGCGCCCATGATATAGAGGCTGAACAGACCACTGTCCCGACCCTCCAGCTACGGCCAAAAGCAGTAAATAAAAGTCAGATATGGCTTCAGAGTCACACCCATGAGTTAAACCTGTGTTTCAACAGCTTTGTTCTCACATTTCCTCCTTCTTGAATGCTGGTGGAGAACTGAGCCAGCAGAGCGAGGCTGATGATGACGCCGCCAACAATCTAAATACAAAATAAAACTGATTGGTTAGAACTTTATGGACCACGACAACCGAAACAGCTGTGAACCAAAACTTTAGACAATAAAACTGCAGTTAGAACAGCAGTTCAGCAGTTTAGCTTTTCAAAAGTCTAAGTACAGCATTAAATTATTGATTATTTGATGAATAAAAAGACACCGATTCATTATTTTTGATTTATTTATGAATCACTGTTGTGCTGAGGTTCAGGTTCAGCCTCGGGCTTGGGTTCATTCTTTGTGCAGGTATGAACAGGTATGTACAATCTGTTTGGATCAAGTCATCCAGTGCATTCCACAGATGTGTTGTAATACAGCGACATGAACAAAAAGATAAAAACCAAAGAATTCACAAAGCTTAAAAAGCGCCCAGAAAAACAGGAAACTAGGTCATAGCTTAGAATTACTCGAATATGAGCAGCTATTTTGAAATACAGGTAACCACAGCCTAGCTAACGATCAGCTGGCCTACTTCCAAACAAATAAAGACTAAAGTAACAGAACTAAACAGAACTGGAACCAGTAAAACAAAGTCCACCAACCACCAACCCCAAGTGAAACAGTGACGCCTTCGAAGCTTATGTTGTGAGATGTGACGGTGTTGTGCCAAAAAGTGATTGTCTGCCAAAAACTGATTTCTGGCATTTGCCAAAAACTGATTGGTTGTATTTAAACTGCTATAAATAACTTGTTGATCTACAATATGTGAAACATATGTCAAATATATCCCTCATGAATTATATCAAGTCATCTTGACCAACAAACAACATTCCTGTAACAAGGTAGAAGCACAATCACTTTTTGGCAGTGACTTTTATGTATCCTTTATTTATGCAGTTTAAAAAAAAAAACTTGTTTGCTTTAAAAATGTCTCTTTTAAGAGTATTCTGGCCAAGAGGACAGCTGAAATCGCAACAAATACAAAAATAGTTCTGTAAACATATTTTACGTGGACAAAAGAAAGCTGATTGATTATAATTAAGTACAATAACACAGCTACAAAGATAATTGAGAAACAGGTAATTTTTTTAAATTGTGTATTTAACCCCTTTGCAATACCTGTTCACCGAAGTCTATTTAGCAACATACGTAACGATATTACACATAAAAAACACACGGAAACGTTTTTGGCACAACAACCCGGCACTGCGCACTTTAAATTACTGCTGGGACCAAACACGTTTTAGCTGCTGTTTGAAAATGAAGCTCAACTCACCGCGAAGAAGATGTTGAAGATGATGAAGGTGCGTTTAAGGCAGGTGTTGATCTGAGCCATATTTGCAGCTTGAGAGGGAAGAACACTTTTGAAGAAAACAGTTCTGTTTGTGGAGTCCACAGGAGCACCGACTGCTGCGGAGGAAGTGAGAGGAGATGGGCGGGTTGAGTTGCTTTTAAACTACCCCAGACGACAGCGGGCGGGAGTTCCAGTAAACCACGGAGCAGCAAGATGATACTTAACAGGAAGAGTCCGGGGCATTCCGGTGTTTGCAAAGACGGATCGGATTTAAACTGCTGTAAAGATTTGATAAGAATCGAAGAACAAATATATCCCTCATAAATGATAGCAAGTTATATTGGGCCACAGAGCCAGCAGAGCTGTGTTGATCTGGGACTGTAGACATTAAAAAAGTCCCCATAGGAGAGATGGTAGCTCATGAGATGATACTAAAATGCAAAGATTGGTGACAGCGCTTGGAACCGTAAGGCAACAGGTTAAAAAGAACTGCGAGAAATAAACTAGGCTCTGCCTGGGAATCACATTTTGCCTCTCTTCCTTCTTCCATCTCCTCATCTCATCTATCACTCTCCACTTGCTGTTCACCTGAGAGCAAGGCACAATTTGCTATTGCATTAATCTATTATTTAATTATCCACACTTAACAACTCTTGCACCTAATCCTTAATAAAGTAATGATAGAAAATGGGGGACACTAGCATAGGGCTCCAAATCTGGGACTCTCCACCATTTGCTCTTGGAACTGAAGAAGCTTCTCGGATGAGAGTCGAAACGTCTTCAAGAAAACTAACGAAGTCCAGATGCTTTCTAAGCTCATTAGACGATAGAAAATGTTAGAATGAAAAGATTGCATTTCTTAAATAAAAATTTGCCTCAAGAAAAGGGCACTTGGGGCACCCATCAGGAAAGGGGCAGGCGCTCAAGCCCCTTCCGCCCCCCACCAGCACGTGCCTGATGTGGAACACAGGTTATGTACGACCGCAACCATCCCCTCGTGATTATAACTTGCGCACCTACAAGGTTTTTTACGGTTCAATATGCGTTCGCAGTTCGTCATGGTGCCTTTAGGTGAACCTCTTAAATTCTGTAATCCAAACTGCAAGATCGCTTACAAGGCTTTTCTGGGGGGTTTATTTCCCTTTGCTGGGATAAACATATCTATAACCATTTTGGTGTTCCTGTTGATAAAGTTTATTATAATTTAATGCTAAAATCAATAAGGTAGCTTCTAAATATTTCATTTTTACCACCAAATTTCATTTTTTTTATTTAACACATCAACAGGACTGTTTGTAATAACCTTCATTTTTTACAAAAAATAAAATGAAAATGCAAAGTACACACTAATATACAGACATAGTTACACACTTCAAAGGATCTAACAACCAAGCGGTTATCAGCCGCCATTAATTATTAACCTCATATTCTTGTTCAGTTTGTCACAGCAGGCAAGCTGACAGTGATCATTTACGGATTTTTACAACTGCAACATTTTGAAATGATTACATCCTAGAAATCACTGCAGCATGAGCACAAATTCAAAGAAAAAATTTAAAACTTGTTTTCTGCAAACACCACCACACTGTTATTAAAAATGTTTTTGGATACACGTGTGGTTGTTTTCAAGTTATATGGCTGCAGTATTCCTGAATTTACGAGGTGCCCTTAAAGGCACCATGATGAATTGCGCTGGTATATTGAACCGTATAGGTGCGCAAATTATTCTGGTGTGACTGCGTGACCGGTCAATAAGAGAGAGTCATAAAGATATTTAATATTTCTATTTCTTTATGTTATACTCTTATCTTAAATCCTGTTCACTACAAACTATTTATCAATACAAGCAAATATATTAGGCATAACACACAGACACACACACACACACACACACACAAACGCAATGTTTTGGCACCAGGAGCAGCAGTGGAAAATTTCTGCTGCTGAGCCGGAGAGAAAAGCTGTATGGACGTTGTTGGGCTCACGTGCACGCAGTTTAAACATCCAGCTGTGACTCATTTTGCTTCCAGGAGTTTTACTTTCGTTGGAAGAGAGAGAGAATTTATAAAAGCTTTCCCAGACCTTAAACATCAACAGCCGTATAGGCTGGGTTTTTTTTGAGTGTGTAAAAACAGTGCAGAAAAAAATCCACTGAGTCTGTGGTCATTGTTACACAATATGCAGCTTTGAGGAAAACAGACCAGTAATGAGAAAAGGAAATGATAAGTATTCTTGTCATTTTTATATTCTTTTGCTCTCCTTTTTCAAAATAACTGTTTTACTAATTGGCTACTTTTTCATGTACAGTAGCCTAAACACTTTTATTAATACACCATACTTGGGAATAACACGAGTTGACACAAAGTGCTTTTGTGGTTGCTGGCAGTTCATCAGACTATGTCTCGCTGTAGCAAATGAACTGTTAATAGTAAGAAAATATGGGAAAGAGAGGGGAAACCTGGAACTAAATACCAGAGCTGTCCTGTGAAATGGAATGTGTGGGAGGACTCAACAGAGAAACTGACACACACACACACTGAAACTAAGTCATGTGAACCTGACGCTGGGACTGGGGATAAAGAGATAACTAACACAACAAAACAAAAAATCAAGAACTATAAATAACAAACTAAGAAACTAGAACATTAATTATTTTAACCTTTCAAAGAAATAAATACCAAGTCCAGAACAAAACTCAAAATGCTGAGTCAAAGACTCAGAACCATGACAGCTCTCCCTTAACTCCAGCTCGCCCTCAAAGCGGTGAGGGGGCGGGAGATACGAAGCTCAGCACAGAGGAAAGATTACAAACAGATTGAATCTGCTTATCTGATATTTAATCATATATATATATTTTCTGTCACCAAACAACATCTGAAGGTTCCTTTTTTATTTATTTTTTTATTCCACAGATATGATATTACTGATATATGATATATTACCCTTCTATCCCCAGTGTATATGTAGCCTGTGTCCATTCCCTCTGTCTTTATCAGGTCATGTCCCATTAGATTAATTGATTGATTTAGTATAGGTGGTTTAGACTAACACCAGCTCTATAACTGAAAGTTGTGAGGAGGGTTTGAGGCTGAAGGCGTCTTCTCTGGCGTGTCGTCCAGCAGCTCGTAGGCAGGTGGCTGGTCCATCCACTGGCAGTTCAACCTGATGCTCGTGTTATACATCTGATAGATCAGCAGTGATGACAGCACCATGCCGAAGAGCTACACACAAACAACAGTTAATAAAGACTGACACGATGATGTTTGTCACTCATGCACTCTGTGTCACGATCCTGGGTCTTAGGACCCAGTGTTTTGAGTTCTAGTTCATTTTGATGTTTATAGTATGTTTAGCTCATTAGGCCTCCTATGTTCATTTGCTTATTAGTTCCCCCTTGTGTTTCAACCCATGTTAAGTCTCCCCTGCCCTTCATGTCTCTCTGTGCCCCCTCTGTTCTGTTTATTGTGTGTCTTTGCATGTTTGAGTTTCTTGTTTTGTCACCCTGCATTGTGCATTATGTTCTCATGGTTGGTCTTTTGTTACTCCCTCTAGTCTAGTCTCTTGTGTTCAAAGCTGAGTATTTCCCTCTGTGTATTTTGGTTCTTAGACCTCTGCCTTATGGTTTGTCTCTGTTTCTTAGTTGCTGTCTCCACTGTGTCAAGTTCGCGTCTCTGTGTGATACTTCCTGTTTTACTTTGAAGGTCCATGCCTCATGTGAGTGTTTCTAGTTTTGCGTCTCTGTCTCGTCCAGCCTGATTACTCCCAGCTGTGCTCTCCTTCTGTGTCTCATTCCCTCGTTATCCCTCTGTGTATTTAAGCTCTGTGTTTCTCTTTGTCAGTGTCGTAGTCTCCCTCATAGCTGTGTGAGTTTTCCCTGTGGCGCCTCGTGCTTTAGTCTCCCCAGTTTAAGTTTAGTACTGTTTTTTGTGTTTCACTTTATGCCAGCATTAAAGCTGTGTTTTTGAGTTTAGGTTTTGTCTCCGTGAGTTTGCGTTTGGGTCCTCTCCTGCCTGCCACACAGCTGAACCATGACACTCTGTGGTGAAGATGAGTTTACCCAAGCTAAAGGATCATAGCAGGAAAAAGTTTACTATTCCAGTGCTGAAAAGTTGGTGTATTTCCAAAGTTCTGAATCAGCTCTTTCTTTAAAAAAAAACATTCTCTGTAAATATTTCTAAGTATTTGTTAAGAGCACACATCATTCAGCATTACCTGGGCTGTCAGAGATGTGGACATAAATCATTTCAAAATGCTTTTTTACGTTTTTGGAGGAGATTTAAATACAAGGCAAGAAAACATTAAAAAAGCAGAGCTATGGTGACATAACACATTTTACTTTAATGAATAACTCACTGTTAGAACAAAGAGACCAAAGATCACGCCCAGGGTGATGTTGGCATTTCTTACAACCCTGCTGCTGATGATGGGAAAGCAGGGCTGAAGACAGAGAGACAAACACATATAAACTCTGACTGCAGTGACAGGAAAAGGAATTTTTTTCAGGGGATCAGGAAACAGATAACACTTACCTCCATTATTTCATAATCACATATCTGTTAAAACTTCTTTAAAATTGTCAGAGAGAGCATTGGCCTTGATGTGAACGTTGAAGGTATACACTTTTTATATGTTCACACCTGTGTATCAAGTGATAACTTTAATTTTAGCATTTAGCAGCTCTCACCTGTGTGAAGACAGACTTCTTCTGCCAGAAAAGGTTCAACAGGAAGTTCTAAAAACACAGGAAACAAACTCAGGAGTCATTTTGTTTGTCTTTCAGTTGGAACCATTTCAGAAAGCGTCAACACCTCACATGAAACTGAGTTAATACAATAACTCTGCAAGTTATTAGTGTCTCAGCTTCTTTTACTCACTGTGTAGCTGACTGTCTGACATTCCTCTACATCCTGTTTGCACAGGCAGGAATCAGGGATGCTGTTCTCCCAGTCTTTGTAGCCAAACAGACCACAGCAGTGCAACTAAACACGGACGGGAAGAAGAGCTACAAGCTGCAGTGTTATTTACACCACACAGTGCAGAACAAACCACACAGAACTCGGTGCTGGTGACTGCTGCCACATCAAAAATAATACTGAATAATACAGAGCATATCTTGTGGAAGTCAGAAATCTTAAAGCTCTGGCTTT